TAATATCCAGAATATATGAAGAGCTCAAAAATTTAACAAAAAGCAAGCCATTTAAAAAAATGGGAAAATGATCTAAATATACTTGTCAAATATATACAAATGTCCAACAAATGAATGAAAAAATGCTCAGTATTCACCATCACGGGGATGCAGATCAATAGTACAGTGGGTCCAGGTAGAAAGGCCATTACACACTGGAGGAAAGACGGCCTCTTCAACAGGTGGTGCTGCGAGAGCTGGCTATCTACACGCAAAACATCGAAACTAGAGCCCTATCTCTCATCCTGTGCAAAAATCAGCTCCGAATGGATCAAATCTTAACATTAATTCTGAGTCTAAAACTACTTCAGGAAAATGGGAAACACTGGAAGGTAGAGGTGTAAGAAGTTATTTTCTGACTAGGACTCCAGTTACCCAGGAAATGAGCAAGAATAGATAAATAGACCTGCATCAAAAAGCTTCTGCACATCAGGCTGGTGGGGTGCCTGCCTCACAAGTGCAAGGCTCTGAGTTTAAGCCGCGGTACTGCTTAAAAAAAAAAGTATATAAATAAGTTTGTGCAATGAAAGGAAACAGTTGGCAAAATCAAGAGACACGCCTATTCAGTGGATAAAGGATTAGTATCTAGATTACAAAAAGCTCAAAATATTAAAGAGCAAAAGAACAATAATTGGGCAAATGAACAGTTCTCAGAAGACATACAGATGGCTAATACATGAAGAAATGTTCAGTGTCCTTAGGCATAAAGGAAATGCAAATCAAAATGACATTGAGATTCCATCTCACCTCACCCAATGGGCTGTCATTTAAAAAAAAAAAAAGCCAGGCACCGGTGGCTCACACCTGTAATCCCAGCTACTTGAGAGGCAGAGATCAGGAGGATCATGGTTTGAGACCAGCCTGGGTAAATAGTTTGTGAGACCTTATCCTGAAAATAACCCAACACAAAAAAAGGACTGGTGGGGTGGCTCAGGTGGTAGAATGCTTGAAGCTGATTTCAAACCCCAGTACCAACAAACAAACACAACAACAACAAAAAAACCCTGGCGAGGATGCAGGGAAAAAGGGAGCCGTATACACTGTTGGTGGGAATGTAAATTAGTGCAACCACTGTAGAAATTGGTATGGAATTGCCTCAAAAAAACTAAAAATAGACCTGCCTTATTAACCCCGCCATGCAGCTCTTGTGCGTATATCCCAAGGATTGTAAATTTATAAGAGAGACCTGCACACCATGTTTATTAAACTCTTCAACAATAGCCAAACTGGAAACAGCCAAGGTGCCCAAAAACCAATGAATAAAGAAAATTTTATACGTATGTATATAATCATGGAATATTACTTGGCCATAAAGAAAAATGAAACTAGGTCATTGGCAGGAAAATGGATGGAACTGTAAATCATCATGTTGAGTGAGATAAGTCAAACTCAAAAAGCCAAATACTTCATATTTTTCTCATTTGTGGGATCTAAACCTAAAATGCTGGTGGATATGGATGTAAAAGAGAACTGTCTGGGGGGATCAACAGGAGGGAGAGGAGGAAGGAGTGGATACTGCAGGGTGAAGACAGCATGATAGAAACCACCACACACTTTGAAAAGGGGAAGACAACAGGCTGGAGTTGCTCATCTATGGACATATCACAATGGGCCTCCTTATACTATGAATGTCTACTAATTAAAAAGTAGAATTTAGGGCTGGAGATGTGGATGACGTGGTACAGTTGGTTTAACAAGTACGAGGCCTTGGGTTCAAACCCTAGTTCTGCCAAAAAAAAAAAAAAAAGGAGAGATCCAAATGGCCAATAAGAATAACGAATACAGCAAGATGTGATGTTATACACCTGTAATCCCAGCACTCAGGAGGCTGAGGTAGGAAGACCATGAGTTCCAGGCAAGCCTGGGCTGTACAGTGAGATTCTACCTCAAAACCCCAGTCCACCCTCCTGCCCCACAAAAAAAAAGGGCTGGGTTGTGGCTCAGATGGTAGAGCACCTGGCTAGCAAGTGCAAGGCCCCAGCTTCAAACCCTAATACCACCAAAACAAAAGGAAAAAAGTACACGTAAAAAAGGGCAGGATATGGAGGAAAAACCCCTTACACACAGTTGTTGGGAGTGTAAATTAGTACAGCCTCCAGAGGACAGTATGGAGGCTCCTCAAAAATTGGTGTGCCGTGTGATTCAGTGATTGAGCTGTATGGGAAATGAAGTCAGCATACGAAAGAGATACCTGCACACTCATGTTTAAACAACAGCCAAGGTACGGAATCAGTGCAGGTGCCCATGAGTAGATGAGGGCATGTATGAGTGCACAATGAAGTATTAGTCATAAAGAAGAAAATCCTGTCATTTGCAGCAAAATGGATGGAACTGGAGGACGTTATGTTCAGTGAAATAAGCAGACATAGACAGGTTCAGCTTGTTCCCATATGTGGAAGTTGAATAGTGATAGAGGCTGGAGGGGCTGGACGGGGCGGTGCGGGGACAAAGGTGGTTGGATTTGATCAGTGTGTGTTGCACGAATTAAACTAACACACTGAACTACGTTAATATGTACAATTAACACATGTCAATAAAAATTTTTTAAGTGAGTTTCATCTTAAATTGCATCCTAAAGCTTTTTGGGTTTTTTTTAATGGTACTGGAGGACCTCATGCAAGTGCTCTAACACTTGAGTCACTCCCCCAGTTCTTTTAGTTTGTTTTTCAGTAGGGTCTCATGCTTTTGCCTGGGCAGGCCTCAGACCTCAGTCCTCCTACCTTTGCCTCCCAAGTAGCTGGGATTACAAGTCTGTACCAGCATGCTCATCTTGTATCCTAAAGCCCTTTATGGCTGTATATTTATAACAGATACAACTTCTGAGTGTTGGAGATGACAGATTGCTTTGGTTGAATGTCACTTAAAATGTGGATAGGTGGAAGGTTACAATCACTGCAGATTATTCAGAAGTTAAATCAATGGTGACAGCACCTGTGCTTCTCCAGGCCTTGAATTAAACATAAACTTACTATATAAAACTGGGCAACAAAAGTCAACAAAATTTAAAAATGGGCAAAAGACTTGGATGGATGTTTCTCCAAGTAGTGAAAAGAGGCTCAGTGTTACTGGTCATCGGGCCCACACACCCTAACCACAGTGAGATACCACTGCACGCCCGGGAGGATGACTGACCAAGAAAACAGAAGACGGCAAGTGTTGGCAGAGGTGAGGAGAAACTGGAGCCCCGTGCACTGTTGGTGGGAGTGTGCAATGGTGCAGCCCCGGTGTGAAAAAGATTCTCAAAAAGTTGGACAGAATGGCCACGTGATCCAGCAGTTCTGTTTCTGGCTATAAACCCAGAAGAATGGAAAAGAGGGACCCAAATGCATACATGGCTGTGAGTACTCACAGCAGCACCATTCTCAGTGACCAAGAGTGCAGACAGCCTAAGTGTCTGTAATAGGTAATGGAGCAGCACATTTATACCCCCAAGACGGCACTGTGCGCCAGTGGGAGGGACGAAGTTCTGACACCTGCCACAGCCCGGGTGGCCTTCAGGACATCATGCTGAGTGAGGTCGGCCAGGGATGAAAGACAAAGTGCGTGGGTCCCTGTGCGAGGCCCCGGGAGAAGTCAGACTTCAAGTAGAGCGTGGTGCCAGGGCTGGGGAATGGAGGCAGCTCCTGTTCAGCATGATGGGAAAAGACAGGGTGTGACTGTACAATTCTGTGACCATACTTAATGCCGTGGATCGCACCCTACTGACAGATGTTATTTAACCATTGGCAATTTTTTTTTTTTTTGGTGGGACTGGGGTTTGAACTCAGGGCTTGGTGCTTACAAAGTAAGTGCCTTACTGCTTGAGCCACACCTCCAGTCCATTTTGTCCTGCTCATTTTAGAGATGGGGTCCTGTGAACTATTTGCTTGGGCTGGCCTTGAACTGTGATCCTTCTGATCTCAGCCTCCCAAGTAGCTAGGATTACAGGCATGAGCCACCAGTGCCTGGGTTTTGGCAAAATATTTATGTGCATTTTATCACAATAAAATAATACAAACCTAGATTTACTTGGCTTTAAACAAAATTTAAAAATTGGCATCCATCTCCAAGGCTCCGTCCTGTGAGGTTCAGACTGACCCTTGTCCTCAGGGCGGTTGGCCTGACTCAGCCAGGGGAACTGAAGCCCTTTAAAAGGAAGTGAGGGAAGGAGCAACGTGAGCGAAGGGACCCGAGGCTGGCAGGGCACCACTGGGAGCAATTTAGTGATGGTGCCTGGTGCTGGCCTGGCCACAACACCAGTTTGTGAGTGGGGAGGGCAGCCATGGACCTGGACACTTCAAAATGGCACAAATGGTGCATTTTTTGCTATGTAATTTTTACTACGATAAAAACGTTATGGCTGCTTTAACAATGCCCTCAGCCGTTTGAGAATGTATTGAAAAAGCGAAGAAAAAAATACAGAGTGTAACTGCTATTAGGGAGAATGTTCAAATCCCTATTTTTATCACACGTACCTTCTTATACAGTGTGATGTAAGTTTGCGATACCTTAGAAGCATATATTTTGAAATAATTGCATAGCTCCAAATCTCAACCTTTTGTGTGTTTTTGTTTTGTTTTGTTTTGTTTTTGTAGTACAGGGGTTGGAGTTCGGGGCCCTGCGCTTGCTAGGACGGCTCAGTACCACCTGAGTTACGCCCCAGCCCTCTTTTGCTGTAGTTATTTTTTGAATAGAGTATCTCATTTTTGCCCAGGGCCAGTCTTAGACACCTGCCTATGCCGCCTGTGTTTTTGGGGCCATAGGCATTCACTACTATGCCCAGCTTGTTGATCGAGATGTGGTCTTACTAACTTTTTGGCCTGGGTTGGCCTCAAACTGGGATCCTTCCAGTCTCCATCTCCTGAGTAGCTGGGATTACAGGCATGTACCACCATGCCCAGTCCTCAACCTTTTTGCTTTTGAAGATATCAGCATTCCATATCTATGAGTTCAGTACATTAACAATCACTTCTTGACTTTAGGAATTTGAGAGCGTGTTTTGCGGTAAAACTGGCAGAAGGCTAAAGCTGACCAGACCAGACTCCTTGGTGACCTGCCCTGCACAGGGCAGTCTGCAGAGCAGCCCCGCGATGGAGCTCAAGTGACTGGACTGAACCGGGACCTGGGGGTGAATGGCGTCCCTGCGGGACTGCACGTGTTCTGCGATTCTGGAGCCCCGCTCGGACAGTCCACCTCAAAAGGGGCGTGGCTCAGGTTGATGGGACTCCAGTAGGGACTTTGAGAGCACATTTTGTGAGAGTATTTATCTAGAGCCAAACGCTTACCGATTAATGTCCTAGTGGCCATTTGGGAATGAAGACATCTCGGTAATTAGTAAGTAGTTTTCAATGATCTGACTCCATCATGTGTTCTTAACATGATAACTTGAAAATTACCATCCTTGTAATTTCTTTAGTCTTGGGAAGACCAAAGCAAGCATTTCTTTTTACTTATTTTATTTACATTTTAAATATGCCCCTTTAGCAATTGGAAAAGGTAAATTGTTCTTCACTAGTAGTTTGGAGATTTTATTTCATTTGTTATATCACTCCCCATAATTATTTCCACTCTTAGGTACTCTGTCTTGCAAAACACAGTACTATTTTAAAATTTTTTGCCAAAAATTTTCCAGAGACTTCCTTTAAAATACTTTCTCCATAAATGTTTTCTCGGTAGGTGCTTCATGCTCACATTTCCGCATGTGAGTCATGTGTAATAAACTGTGTGTTTGGAAGTTTCCCAGCGAGTGGCTTTGTTTGTTACAGCAGACCCTCCAGCAGACTTTGGTGCCGTGTGCGGTTACTGTCCTCCCACCCCGTCCGCCAGTAAAGACTGTCAGAGACCTTACGTTTGTGCACAGACAGTAGGTAAAGCAGACTAGAGCTTTGCACAGAAGGGACACCAAACATCAAATTTTTAATTTTGTGTTACACCGTAGGCACTTACTAATCTGGACTTAATGTATCATTTTATCGGGAGCGTATCATAGTCTTTATACAAACGTTATGTAAACAAGTCGCTGAGTGTTCTTATCACACGGAATTGTACAAAACTGCCTAGATACCCCTCCACCCTCCAGATGCTGGGTTTACAGTGTCCTTCCACAGGGCCCGCGCCTGAGGCACGCTGTCACAGATGAGCAGGCACCGTAAACACTGCAGATGGGACACAGATGATAACGGCCCTGGGAAATGCTTGCAGGACCCACGCACCAGCAGCCACCGTCGAGGGAGCCCAAGGCAGGCCAGGAAGGCCTTCTGGACTAAGCAGCTGGTTGTGTGCCCACTGCTGGTAACCACAGCGCTGATCCCGGGCTGCCCCATTGGAGGCACTGCTTAAATCGTCATTGTTACTTCCGTATGTTCTCTTTCTTTCATGAGCTCCGAGGACCTGACTTTTCTCCACCTCCTCCTAACATGGCTCCTTGGCAGGCTGAGGTGTCACAAATCCCTGGAGTCCCCTGAGCCCCTACGGCACCGGGAAGGCCAGGGTCGCCGGGAAGCCCAGGCTCGCCATGAGCACCATCTCGGCCATCTTTGCTGATGCCGGGCACGCCTTGAGGCCCTGTAACCAGGAGGATGAGGTTAGAGGTCACAGCAGGATGAGGTCAGAGGTTATAGGAACTGAACATAGCAGCAGTTCTCAGCTGCCTGGCAAACCAACCCCTATTTCTGAACTCGGGAAGAGGCCTGGGGAAGAAAGCCCAGCAGGGGCAAAGGCAGGCACTAGGCAGGTGCAGGCAAGGCCCAGGCCACAGGGAGGGCGTGGTGGTCCTGAGGACATGGTGCACCCCAGTTCAGAAGGCTTATGGGGTGCATGTGAAGAGTGAATTTGGGTGGGTAAAAAAGGAGGTAGGCTGGCCCCAGGAGGGAGAGAGGCGGGTAGCTCTAGTGAGCCATGATGTTTCTGGCAACCGTGGGAATGGCCTGGGGTGAGCAAAGGGCAGTCAGCCACCCTAGCGATGGGTGACAGCCAGTCCAGGAGGTGTGTGGGAGGCTGCTGTTTATGGGAACAGTGATGAAGGTGATACTTAAGGCCCCTCAGGTGGTGAGATGCAAACTGGGCACCAGGAAGATGGGGGCAGAGCAGCAAAAGAGGGCATGGGGTGTGCCTCATGGAGGAAGTGGGGAGGTCTGGGGCCCAAGACTGCTCTGCCTGCTACAGGGTGGAGGAGCCTGGACAGAGCAGCTCACAGGGGTTTTATCAACACCAAGATGCCTTGGACCCAAGGAGGCGTGCATGCGTGCAGGTGAAAAGACCCAAAATGGGTCTTCAAGGAGGTATGGGAAAGCTGTGCTCACGCCGTAATCCCAGCTACTCAGGAGGCAGAGATTAGGAGGAAATAGCGAGAGAGACCCTATCTTGAAAAAACCCAGCACACACACACACACACACACAGGGCTGGTGGGGTGGCTCAAGGTGTATTGAAAGTTATAAAGGCAGTTCTAATCCGGCCTCTAAGAATGTTTTGCCAAGAGGAAAACATTTCCTCATGAGAAAAGGAGATGTGTGCATGTCACTATCAACATTGCAGGTGACAGTGACCTCCTACCTTGGAGCCCCTGGTCCCCAGCAGGCCCATCCTGCCCCACGCCTGCTGCACCCTTGTCTCCTCTGTCACCTTGGCTTCCTACAGTGGGATGGACATAGACCATCGTTAGAGCAGCTAAGCGGCTGTAACCACACAGTGAGCACCTGGAGTCCAGCTTGCAACAACTTGCACACTGCTTTTACACACCTCTTACCACTAGGAGGGTGCAGATGTCACCCAGCAGGGCTTGATGGACCCACCAGTGCCCCTGGCCAACATCACAGACCCGCAGCAGCCATTCTGGATGGATTTTAGTCTTTTGTTCAAAGTATTTATACCTGTTAACCAGTTTGTACGTGTCTTATCTGGTGCTCATGTTTTCAGTGTGACTTTTTTGACCTGTGAGTTACTGAAGGGTGTTTAAAATGTCCCCTAATTGTGTTATTCAAATATATCTCTGTGTTTTGGCCTGCAAGAGCCGTAGTTACAGAGAGGTTGTTAAAATCTCCTCAAGTGACACCGCTTTGTAAGGCTGGCTTTGTGGGCACTAAAGCCCTGAACTTCTGATGACTACAGCGACCCCCTGAGGCGTTATTGGCACTCGTCTGCTTTGCCTGGTGTTGACAGTAGCAATGCCGCCTTTGTTTCGGCGGTGGTTGTCAGTTTATCTTTCTCAACAGCATGTCTTCTGAAGTTGATGAGACATGCAGGCATGATTACAGAACAAGGTCATGAGGCCACCACTGCTGCTGGCGGGGTGGCATCCATGGCCTGGAGTTAGGAATTGACCTCCCCGCAGGGCAGTGAAGATTCTGACATCCAGTGATTGACCCTGGAGCGATGGGCCTCACCTGTGTGTGTGTGTGTGTGTGCGTGTGTATGGAGGGGGTCCTACTTGGTGCAGTGTTTTCAGAGGGGGGAGATGGAGACCTGGCAGTGATAGTGGCTTGTATCTGAGGCCTGGGAAGCCAGTTGTGTGTATATTCTCATTCAACTGCACAGTCATCTCTGGCATCCGGTATCTGCTCTAATGATGGAGCAGAGCTGCCATCGGTTAAGGTATTTGTGACTGAGTATCAGCCGGGTTCCTTTTATCCACCCTCCCTCCCCACCAAATTTCATTCTGGTAGTATCTGAGAAAATATCACATTAAAAGAATGCTGGAGTTCCTGCAGGATTAATAAGGAATTAATGTGCTGGACCCCAAGAGCATGAAGCTCTAGCCTTCCAGGAGTCTCCCCGGATTTGCCCTGGCACGTTCTGGAGCAGCACTTGGCAATAGTCGGGTCTTCTGCCCATTTTTACAGCGTGTCTAGATGAACATGTGCACAGAAGACTAGGTGCATTGTCAGACTCAGGTCTTACGGCATGAGGCTGGCAAGCTCACGTTGAGGCGACTTTGGGCCTGGCTGCCCCTCGTGTCATCTCCTCCATGTACCTTGGGAGGAGGACATCTCAGCGTTGTGCTGGTTCGTGTGGGATGTGTCTGGGTTTCCTCATGTGACTGAGCCACTGCTGCCCACAGCAAGGTGACCGTCTTGGTTCGACTACTCACCTCTGGGTCCAGGGTCTCCAAGCTCCCCAGTGGGACCACGATATCCGGGGGGCCCTCGAGCGCCAGGGTGGCCGATGGAGCCTGGGGGGCCTGGGGGCCCTGGGGGGCCAGCTGGACCAGGCCGACCGATGGAGCCCGGTGCTAATGGCTTTCTCAGGTGTGTGGCTAACTGTGCAATTTGCTCTTTGGGAAAACAGGATGCAAACATTTGCTTCAGAGAAGACAATCACAGAATTGACTGCAAGTGTGAGGAGCTGGCCGAGAGACACCCCCCTGCTTTCTCTTAGAGTGCCTTAAACCCTGTGAGTCAGAGGGGCAAAGGACATCTGTGTGGGGAGCACTTGGGGAACTGCCCTCAAGTCAAAGGGGCACAGCAAGTTGTTCCTTGTAACAGCTCCGTTCAACAGGCTTTAGTGCACCCCTGTGTGCCAGGCATCGTGTCAGGCCCTGGGCTGAGGGGACCTCATCTAGCATGGAGGATAGGCAGGTGGCCATGGGAGTCCAGAAGTGGACCTGAGGGCTGACAGACAGGGCAGGCAGAAGTGTGCGCCCAGGCACTGAGGCCCCGGGGGCAGGGGAGGGCCACCGCAACTCACCACTTATCATTCCCCCACACAGCTCCCTGACGCGCTGCTCACTGGCTTCCTTGCCCTGGAATCACCCAAACTCCTCAGTGAAAGGCAGTGTATCCCCAGTACCCCACTCCCAAAGCAACTCTGATCATTTAGAAAATGTCATCTACAGCCAGCACAAGCCCGACACCCCCAGCACTGATGGAGAAAGGAAGAGCCACACACCGGAACTCCTGGTTTCCCAGTGATGCCGGGGACGCCCTGCACGCCCTGGAGGCCCAGGGGCCCTGGGGGGCCAGGGACACCCTGGACACCACTGGTGCCATTGGGTCCCTGGATGCCTTTGGGGCCTGGTTCCCCTCGACTGCCAGACTGCAAGAGAAACAGGAAGCAGTTCGGACTGGGCCTCGCTCAGGGGCCAGGAGCTGCCATCGAGGTGTTCTTCCCTGGAGAGCTCAGATCTGGGCAGCACACCACAGACTGACCTGCTGGCTGGCCACCAGAGGTGGGCAGGAAGCCTACAGGCTCCTTGGATTTGTTGTGGGATCATCTGCAAAGCACTCACCTCGCCTTTTTGTCCAACGGGGCCACTGGGACCCTGTGAGGAGAGAAGGCATGTGCTTTAATGCCTCATTGCGAGCTGGCGGGGGAGTGGCTCCTACACCAATCAGGCACCTTATTACCGAGGATGAAATAAAAATCAAACCATTCAGAGTTCTTCTCTTTTATCTCTCCATGTACTCTCGACAATGCTGAGTATAATCTGTTGATGCTTTTTAAAAAACTTACTTTCGGTAGCTGCGTAGTATTTCCTCTTACACCTGTTTAGTTTCTTTCCCTTCTTTTTCCCACAGTATTGTAAATGATGCTGAGCTGAATGTCTCGGTCCTAAAACTCTGGCCCCTTCTCCAGCTGGGTCCTCAGGAATGATCAGCCCCAGGTATGCAAAACACAATCTTAGCCGGACAGCAGGTGGAAAGACTGGGCCCTGGCCAGGAAGGGCAGCAGCGAGCCCCCTGCCCGTCTTGCTGTTACCATGGCTGGAACCAAGCAAGTAGGTCTCCCAGCTGACAAGGGCTCTGTCCCTCTCAGTCACTGCCCAGCTCCCCCTCAGTTTAAAGGTGACCACAAGGGGCTGAAAACTTGCCAAAATAAATAAAGCACACACAACTGAGATTATCTTGGCCAGTGCATAAGAAGTTTACACTGGGACAAAGGGCATTGCCAGAGACCAGGATTCCTGGGGCTAGGCTGGTTCTGTTTTACTCAGACACAAAGGGAAGTGTTCACTGCAGAATTAAAATCTCTGGCCACCTGAAAGCCAGAAAGGTCTCTTTTTTTTTTTCAAACCTCAGGACCCTTTGATTTTCGTGCCCTCCAGAAGGAGAGATGCAAGTCTGTGAACTGAGTCACAGATCGTACTTTCTACTTAGAGTTTCAGCCCTGTGAAGGTGGAGTTTCCTCCACTCAGAACTCAGCCACCACCGATTAACCCGAGAGGCCATAGACGGTGACTTTCACGTGCAGAGCATGACATGAGGCATCTGGAGAACCCCATGCCTCAGCCGGGAGCAGTCCTGACCCGCACCGCTTTCCAGCTGGGCACCCTACTTGCTAAGGGGATGGCACCCAATGGGCAGTGTCCACACACTGCCTGCAGAGCTGCTGGTTCTCCCGCTGGGGCATCAGATACTGACCCCAGGACAGCACCCATCCAAACCGGCTAGCTGGCTCTCGTGTGGCAGTAAGGATACTCAGCCATACTCACCAGCTCTCCTTTGTCCCCGGGAAGGCCGTCGGCACCCGCGATACCCTGAAAACAACATGCTCGACGTTAATAGTGACTCCTTCCTACCTTAAGCTGCCTGCTCTCAGACCTTGGTGTGTTTAACATTCATCCCCGAGACTGAGGCCAGAGCCGAGCCCAGGCACGTGCCTTTGAACAGGCTCCCAAGGCAGCATGAAGACCCTGCCTCTGAGAACCACAGCCTGAGCAGGGTCACGATGCTAAAGTCACTTGTTTACATAATCATGACTCCTATCAGGCAGAACCTTGCATGAGGTTGGGTGAGGTTGGATGGAAAGGCGTGGTGCTACAAGAAGCAGGTTCTGTAGGTGGAGAGGGCAGCAGTCACAGCCCCGCCACCCTGAGCTGTTGCAGGAAGGAAACAGTATCAAGGAGAAGCAAACCCATTTGTAACCTGCTTCTGCAACCTTGGTGCTGACCCCACCCCTTTCACAAGCCAGTTTCCCCCAACCAGAGGAAGCTTTTGTTGCTCTCAGGAAGGCAGCTGGCTCCATCCCTGCTCTGCTCTGGGGCTGGTGCCCACAGAGCAAAGATGAGGAGGAAGCAAAACGAGAGAGGAGGAAACCGCTCAGGTTCTAAAAGCAGACCCAGAGCCAGACAGCTCAGTAGGCCCGCAGAAGCTGGACAGCTTTGTGGTTACACTTTTGATAGGACCCAGATCTGACCTGACCACGGGCACCTTCTTACCTGGTCTCCCTTAGAGCCTGCAGCGCCTCCAGGGCCCTGGGCAGAGAAAAGGCTCTGGGTTAGAGGAATCCCAGGAATGTCTAGGTGGTTCCACCGCATGGTGCACACAGGGATCCCGCGGGGACAGCACTGCTGCCACTTCCACACCTCCTGTGGCTGAGGGCCCAGAATTCCAGCCCTGCAGCCCAGAAGCTAAACTCAGGCCCACAGATGACAGCAGCACTTGGCCCATTCTGCTCCCTGTGCATCCCTTGGGAGTCTGTGGATCATTCCTGGTAGACACTGAGGTTTTTACGTTGGGTATTGATGCCTGTGGACTGCGTGGGTATCATCGCGCACATAACCCTAGGACAATTTCACTCTTACTCAAAGATTCAAACACTCATCTTAATCATCATCCCATCTTACTGTGAAATTGGGGACGCCTGGGAATTGTTAGGATCTAAAAGAGGTCCATGGACGGGGGGCTGTAGTGTAGTGGTAGTTTAATGCCTAACATGCACAAAGCCCTGGGTTTGATCCCAAGTACCACTAAATACATAAATACAAATAAGTCCATTTGCTCAAATGGCAGTGAGAACCTGCCCAAAGGGAAAAAAGCATGAGCAAATTTAGGAAAGCAAGGGCACAAGAGCTGTCCCAGGGTGGGAAAGTCAGAAACAGCCCCACTCCCTCCTGCCACCGCTGCGCCTGCCTCTCCACTGGTTTGGAGGCCCTGGGCTTGTTCGCACATTCCCTAACCCTGGAATTTCCCGTCTGGAGGCTAAGAAAGGACCCACTGTCCCCACTGTGGGTCCTCCCCCCTCATCTGCAGCGATGCCCTGGAGCCTCACAGGGCTGTGTGCACTCATCCCTGCCCTGCCCTGCCAAAGAGGCCAAGGCGAGCACATGGACCTCCAAGGACCTGCTGAAAAAGCCTGGGGCCCAGACCAGGCCCCACCCTCCTCCCAGGTGAGGGCTCATCCACCAGCTAGCCAGGACCCTGAGCAAGCCACGCAGTCCCCTGGCCCCTTACCCTCCCTACAGCTAACGTCACAGGCTGTTTTAAGACCGGCAGGAAATGGGTATTGCAAAGTTACAATCATTTGGAACACTGGGTGTTCAAACTTTTCTTATAGCAACCAGACCAGCTGAATCAAGCCTCAGCTGACACCCAACAGGTAGCACAAGGTCTGAGGCCTCAAGCTGAATCCTCTCCCCATCCTAATTATTGGGCCCTGACGATATGTGGCTGGCTTGGCCAGTTCTGCTCAAGGGGCTAGAGGCAGAGCAACAAGCAGTCCAGGGCCCCTCTGGCCCATGAAGAATGCCGAGTGAAAGGCCACGTCCAGAGCTCATGTCATCACCCCCACTGTCAAGGTGGACAGAAGCAGGCTTGGGTGAGACCGGCCAGCTGGCCTAGGCCATCTCTTCTCTGTGTCCATGGGACTATGACAAAGGCAGGGAAGGCATAGGGAGGGGTGCAAAGACAGGGGACCACTTGCTAGGAAGGCCACTTACCCGATCACCCACATCACCTCGGAGGCCTTGGGGACCTGGAAGGCCAGGATCTCCCATGTTGCCCTTCCGACCCTGTGAACAAAGTCCCAGCTAGTCAGCAACCTCAGGAACCCAAACAGGACCCCTCCACTGCCCAGCCCACCGGGCTCACTGCCCTGACTGTGCTGGCCACATCAGGCCCAAGACTTTTCCCCAATTTTACCTGGAAGCCGCGGATGCCAGGGACCCCAGGAGGGCCTTGTGGGCCAAGAGCCCCCTGAAAGACAGAGGTGTGAATGGATGACTTGATGTTTGGGGAGGTGGGTTGGGGGGGATGTCCCAAAAGCCTCTGTGGCCTGAGAAGCTCAGCCCAGCCTCTCCCAGGACTGGGTGGACATGGGAGCTAGTCCTAAGCCATCTGGCTGAGTTGCTGGCAACAGGCAGGCAGTCTCCTGTCCAGGGGTCTCAAAGCTCCGGCACACATGGTGTCCTATTTGTCAGGCCAGATTTAGTGCCAGGCACTCATGCCCACCGCCTCCTCAGGGTCCCAGGGTGGGCTTCATCCATGGGTGGGGGCAGCAGGCTTGGGAGCTTCCAAGTACAAGACCTGTACTTGCCAGAGTCTGAGCTGTGCTGCGGCATGAAGGTCCTACAGCGGGGGTGGGGGTGGGGCGGGGCTTGGGTTGGCCCCACTGTCCTAGTGGGTAAGGAACTAAGAAGGCAAGGCTCCCCATCTCCCAGAATCCCTAGTTTTCACAGGCTTGGCCAATCTATGCACCAAAGTGCCACCCCAGCCTGCTCAGAAACAGGCTCCATGCCTACTCCCAGGGCTGCGTCGCTCCACTCACCACTGAGCCCCTGTGACCAGCCTCGCCTTGTTCCCCAGGCACACCAACGTCTCCCTGCAGGAAGGGGAAAGGACATGAAGGCAGGGTTCCTGTGCACATGTCGGGGTAGGGTAGTCCATGTGCACATGTGAGTGGAGGCTTGTGGATACTCACAGGGACGCCTGGCTCTCCAGAGGGGCCAGCCTCACCCAGCTCCCCAGCTTTGCCCTGCAGAAGAGGGGAGATCATGAGAACCTGAAGCCCCTCTGTCCAGGACCAGGGCACTGCCTGCCTTCCCCTCCCTGGAAGAAAGCAAGAAAGCAGCCACCTACCAATTCTCCCTTCTCGCCTTTGGACCCTGCTCGTCCGGGGAGGCCCTGCCAAGATAGGGGTCAGGGTCGGGGTCAGGGTCAGGTCCAGGGCCAGGGCTGGCAAGCCCACAGAGATAGTGTGCACAGGGCAGCTGCAGAGTGTACACTCAAGTAGTGGGCGTGGGGCAGAAAGAGCACCCCCAAAAGGCAGGGCTGACTTCAGTCCTGTTGAGTCCCTAGGGTGGGGTTGTGATAGCTTCTCCAGCATCTGATGCAGTCCTCTGCGAGAGCCCCAGGCAGGGCTCATGTCCCACACACGTACGAGTCCCAGGTTGTGAATACAGCAGCCACTGGGCACCACAGCTGTGCCCCACCACCTGGGTACTTACTGGCAGCCCACTGGGACCCTTCTCTCCTGGGGCACCATTGCGACCAGCCTCTCCCTGTGAGGAGAGTGATTGGGGTGAGATGGAAGACAGAAGCTGATGCCTTGGGAGGGTGAACGTCTCCCTAGCCCCCCCTTTCTCAGCAGGCTGCCTGCTTGGCACCAACCTTCTCGCCATCGAGTCCAGCTATGCCATCCCGGCCATCCTTGCCTGGCATGCCCTAGGGACAAGGGTCGGCATTAGGTCCCTCAGAGAGGGCGCCACGCTACCTCTTCCCTTCCTCTACATCCCTGTCCCCCCTGCCTGTGAGGCAGCCCCTTCCCCCACGCCGCTGTGAACTGGGTCTGCCCCCCAATTCCCCTGAGGGATGCCTGTGGTTTCACGATAAGGTGGCTGTATGACAACCCGTGCCACACTCAGAGACCACATGAGGAGGGGGGATGGGTAGGCACCGCTACTGGCCAGGGTGCCCCTAGGACCCTCGGGATGTCCTACATCTGTATCTGCCACCCATACCCTCCCACCCTTACTCTCAAATGCCCAAAATGCAGATAAGCCTGACCCAAGGCGGTCTACTTCTGCAGGGTCTCAGCAGCTGAGCTGTAGGCTGGTGCAGAAAGGGAAGGCGGGGGCCTCTGGAGGCTGCTCAGCTATTGTTTGGAATGTCGAGAAGGTATCACCTCAGTACTGGACCATCCACAGGTCCTTCTGAGTGGGGGTCTGGCTAAAGGACACACGGCCGCGAAGCTAGTTTTGTGACTGGCCAGGACCACTGCAGAAGAATCATTGCCCAAGCAGTGGTTACAGACGGCAGAAGCTTGGCCAAGAGGAGCAGCAATGGGGAGCAGCCTGCGTGACCACCATGCAGTACTTGAGTCCTATAGGCCCAAGGTACTCACCGGCTCTCCACCTGGCCCAGCTACCCCAGGGATTCCTTTGGGACCAGGTCTGCCCTAAAGGACAAATAAGGGATGGAAGCAGCCCCAGTTGGAACTCTGAGGAATCTCTTCCCAGCCTGCCTCACTGAGTCTGACAGGCGAGGTACTCCAGGAGACAGCAGTGTGTGGTCCATTGCAACCACCTGGGAACAGGCTCCACCACCAGGGCCTCAGAGGGCAAAGCCATCTTTGGGAGCTGTGGACACTGCAGCACCACAGGGCCACTTCCTGGAGCTCCCAGCCAGTGGGGTCCACGTGGGGAAGAAGATGAGGAAGGCTTAGAGACCATCAGAGGCAAATGTCAGTTCATTTCATGGAACACTTTCATGAGACCATCTTCTGACTTCACTCCTAGTCACATGCCTGACCCGAAAGCTGTGGTCTCCCTTGTTCCCCCTTCACAGGGGAGCAAACTGAGCAAAAGTACATCGTACCTGCCCGGGGCCCAGGACTGTGCCCAGAACTGCTCACTGCTGGCTGCTCTAGAGGGGCTGAAGGACTCCCTTGTGGACTTTGGGAATAAGTGTGGGGCAAAGAGAGTGCTGAGGGTGTCCCTCCAGGTCTGCATATGTTCAGCGGCTGACCCCCACCCACAAGTTCCCTGGCAGGGGCCTTCCATGTGTTTCCCCACCCCCAACTCCTGTTAAGAATTCGATTAGGGTCCTCTGTAGGAAGATCCAGAGAATCCAGTTCCCTCTCACTTACGAGGTCACCCTTGGGACCACGGAATCCCTCTGGGCCCCTCTCGCCTCTGTCACCCTGGAAATGAAGAAGGGAAGGAACCAGCGTCAGTAATACAGAGAAGGTGGGAGAGCCAAACGGAGGTATGACCGAGGTTCCCTAGGGCCTGGCTGGGGTCAGCCTTCTGGATGTGAAGGTCACAGGGGTCAGAGGAATGATGACTCTTCACCTCACATCCAAAACACAGGAGGCAGCTCTCCCATGAAGGACTAACTCCTACAAACCTGCCTCTCAGATGTGCCCCACCCCCCAGGTGCACTACAGGCCCTAGGAGCCCTGTGGCATGCGCCCCCTCTGGGTGTGCCATCCCCTATGTGTGCGAGGAGCCCCCACGTGCCCGTGGATGGCTTAGCCTGGGGCAGGACCCAGCTGCTGCCCAGTGGAGCTGAGAGAGAAGTCTGTTCAAGATATCAGAATGGGGGACAGAGGGCCTGGGCTGATGTGGGGCCCACCCTCCATTCTGGACACACACGTACCACTTTCCCTGGTGCTCCTGGGATTCCAGGGGGCCCTCGGAACCCAATGGGACCCTGCAGAGGAAGAAAGGGCATTTGGGGTTTTCTCACAGGAATAGAGACCCAGAGGGAGGCCACAGAAAGAGGCCGGTGGTTATCAGCTCTGCTGAGGCTCCTCTCTATCAGACCACATGAAGTCTAGAGTGGTAACAAGCCCAGGCCCCTGACCACCTACTGGTCCACAGCCCGTGTAGGGCTAGCAGTACTTACCCGGTCCCCAGGGGGCCCGAGTGGCCCTGGCAGTCCTCGCAATCCTCGGGAGCCCTGTGGGGAGAGAGCTGGAGATGTAGAGGCCAGACTGCACTCCTGCCAGGAAGCCTCTGTGGGGCCCTGGCATCTGTCCCAGAAGTGACTAACCTCATCTAGATCCCTGGAAGAAGAGCACTAGTCTTGGGATCAGCCCAGGTGTGATCCTGTCCTGAGTACCAGCCAACTCTCCCCACATCCTAAGGTAAATCTCCTTCTGATGGCTGTCCAAGGAGCTCCCACTCTGTCACTGGGGCCCCTCCACAGGCTCACCTGTAGCCCCACAGTGCCTGGGTTGCCAGCAGGTCCAGGGGGCCCAGGGTCCCCCTGCAAAGGAGAAAATGGTGGTCAGATGGTTCAACCTGGCTCTTCTACCACCTTCCATTGCCCACTGGTCCCCAACCTGGGCCTGAGCAGTGAGGAGCGCTGCCCCTACTTTGCAGCTGAGTGGCAGAGGCTAAGTGAGGGGGGCATGCATTGTCCACAGCTCCAAAGAGGCCACATGGGTCACAGTGTTCTCATCTCTGCCTGGACTGAGTTGGGGGGTTCTCTGTTCCAGCAAGACTCCCACACCCTTTCCAGGACCCTCCTCCTCCAGCTGTGCCTGCAGCAGTCTCCACCCGGCCCTCCCGGACACTAAAGGGCATCCCAGACCTCAGCCCCAGCCTGTGTTGAGGGTGGACATAAGCTCTCCATGGGCAGTGGCTATAGGGAAAGGGTGTAAGGGTCACTTCAGGCCCAGTGCCAAGTTCCTTAGGGCCACTTCTGGCATGGAGTAGCCATTCAAGTCCCATGACAGGGAGCTTCCATGTGAAATTGGGTGGGTGGGTGTCTATCCAGAGACCCTGCCCCAGAACACTGAGCCCTAACCAGCCAGGCCCTCGAGGAGGCACGCTCAACAGGCACCCACCCGAGTGAGTCCGTGAGGCCCCAGCCTCCGCCCCTCCCTGCCCCTCCTGGGTCAGCAGCCCCAGAGATGGGCAGCATTTTACCTTCTCACCATCTTTACCAACTTCGCCCTGCTCCCCTTTGTAGCCTGTGGGTCCCTGAAAGCAAACATGGACGTTGCAGCTCCAGACCTCTGGTCATTTCCTTCCCGAGTAGCACTGAGGCCTGTGCTGTTGGTCAGCCCAGAGCAGCACTGTAGCATTCAGGACCCAAGGCCTGGGTCCAGATGGGGGAAACTGAGCCCTAAGAGGTACTGTGACTCACTCAAGGGCCCTTGGCTGACCAGGAGGGGCAGCACTGAGACAGGGTGGGCAAATGGTACCAGATTACCCCCATGCACTCTCTCTGTGTCTCCTCTGACTCTCTTGGCCCAGGCCCAGCCTGTGGCTTCCAGTGTCACTGGTGTGGAAAGAGTGGGACACGGGACCAGCACCACTTTCTCCCTGTGACAACCCTGGAGCCAGCATAAGGCTTTCTGGATCCTCATCTCCCCCCCAGATACCACCACCACGAGGGGACCTGGCTGTCTTGGGCCAGTAGTCTTGGGTATGCTGGGGCACAAGTCACCCTGAAGTCACCCACTTACCTTGAACCCTGGCATTCCTGGGGGGCCTGGGGGGCCTGGTGGGCAGATGGCAGGGCACTGTTCAGAAAACAGAGTGGTCAGAGCCCCCCAGTCAAATGGGGCAGGACCACAAAAGAGGCCAGTACCCAGAGGGCCCTGAGAAAGGCCATTCCACAGGTGATGGGGGCCATGGATGAGGCCACACAGGGCTTCATTCAGTGCTGGACATGAGGTGTGGTGAAGGGCTACAGGGAGCCAGACAGCAGCTAGATACCCCTCCTTCACAAGCACTCCATCTTCTCTGCAGAATGACCCTTGGTTGCAAAGCAGCTATTGACTTGGTGGCTGTTGTCGCCACTAAGGGAACCTCATACTGTGACCAAGTGCCTGGTGGTTTTTAGGACGGAAGCTGCTGACACCAGGCAACAGCTATAGTGCTCTTGTCAGAGGCACATCCTCTGCCGGACACAGGGAACCAAGGGAAGACATGGAAGGAAGGAACTGGGCAGGCTGGACCACAGTGCAGAGCTGGTGCCTCTGCCCACTGGCCCATGCTAGGGCCCCAGGATTTTCCTATTCTAAAGACCCTACACCCTCCCTCTAGGACACAACCTGGTCAAGCACTTGGGACACAGACAGGGCGAGAACAGCAGGCAAATGACCCTCAGTGTTAAATCAAACTGGTCCAGCCTTTTTTTTTCCTGCAAACCACAAGGGCTCTCCATGACAACGAGGTGCTGACCAACACTGAGAACAGCTGCACAAAAAGGAGCAACTGGTCCGAGGCCTGAGCTGCTTTTTTTGTTTATTTTTATAGGAGTGACCAAATAAAAGTAAGTCCCAGACTCTAGACGAGAACATTCTGTGATGAGGGAAATACTTGTATGTCCTGCCTAGTGCAGCCACTTGACACCTGTGACAAGGAGTGGCTGAGAAGCTATGCATGAGCCTGTTTCCACCTAGGTTTGAACTCAGGGCCTCGTGCTTGGTAGGCAGGCATTCTACCACTTGAGCCACTCTGCTAGCTCCACCTAGGTTTGCTAGAGGCTTCATGAGAAGCAGATCTAGAAGGTGGCAGGATGGGTGGGGAGGACAAGGGGAGGCCCAGGTTGTGTCTGGAGCTGCCATGGAAGCAATGCTGCACTGGAGGGTCCTTAAGGCCATGGCCTCAGGACAGACTCCCCAAAACAGATACCCACCCCAGGGTCCTCATCACAGTGACCACAAGTGCCCACCTGCAGGTCAGTGGCGCCTTCAGGGAGGACCCCAGGATGTCCCTGGAACACACAGAGAGATGGCTGATGTTCACTGGCTCTCCCACCCATTCTCAGACCACACCACAGAGGACTTGGACCTTTGATACTATTCCCAGGTGGCCAGTGCTGGGTGCTGTTGGCCCATCTGGAGGGCACTTGACAGTGACAGAAACCGCCTGCACCAAGTACAGGTGGTTCTATCCTGGACTGGGCCCCTGACTGCCCTATCTAGGCATGAAGCCTGTGTAAGGGGCAGGATGGGGGGGCGGTCCATCCCAACTCTCTAATCTGTGCCTGGCATCTCCATACCCCTACCCAGTACTTACAGAAGGTCCTGGAGGTCCTGGGGGTCCAGGCAGGCCTGGGAGTCCAGAGGGTCCCTGGAGGGAGGGGTCATGATTCAGAGCAGGGCCACACTTCCTGAGTGACAGAACAGCTTGCCCAAAGGAGAGGACACTCCTAGCTCCTTCCTGCCTCCCAGAACAAAGCCTGTGCTGGGGAGGCATTGCCTGGGCTTCTCTCTGTCGATGCCCATCAAGAAAGGGGGCAGAGGACAGAGAGGAGAGAGGGGGAGGGACAAGGAGCTCTGTGGTTGGGTTTGGGGGCATGGTGGCAGCCACATGAACTTGCTCCGTGGAGGTGAAGGGAGGTGTGGGACAGCTACTCACCGGGGGGCCTCTCTGGCCAATTTCACCTGGTAGGCCACTCACTCCTGCCTCTCCCTGGAGGGTGTAAAGAAGTAAGAGGTGGGGAGCCCTGCAAAACCTGGGGGAGGGACCCACTGGGGCAGTCTGCTCTCTGAAGGGACCAGGGCTAAGGGTGTGGGGTGACCAGGTTGTGCCCAAGAAGCCCACCCCTGCATTGGGTTGGAACATCCCAGCCCAGGTTGGCTCTGGGTGGGAGGCAGCTCTGGAGCTTGCGTGCTTGGGTGGGGCCACAAGGGTGGTCAGTACTCACAGGGGGTCCGGGGAGTCCCTTGCCCTGCAAAGCCAAGCACAGGGTCAGAGCACTGGGTGGGGTTTTCCCCGACACCCTCAAGATGGTTCAGTGGGTCCTGGGGAAGGGTGCTTCAGAGGATGGGTGGATGGTGCTCCTCCCCGCCCCCCATCCCAGGATCCCAGACCAGGGCCCAGCCTCCAAGACAGGCACCAAGGGGATGACCCCGGGGCTGCTCCAGACCACTCCATCATGGTCAGATCCTTCTGCTACTCAAACACCTTTAGAGAGGACAGGATGGCACTCACCCCTAGCCCAGGTGGTCCTGGGGGTCCCAGATTTCCCTGAGGAAGAAAATGGGGGTGAGGAGTGGGCTGACCTTGCCTTCATTTGCAAACTGTTCCTCCCTCTGGTGGCCAAGTCCACACCTCCGAGGTGGGAACAGGGACAGAAGGCCCCTTCACAGAGGACTGAGGCCATGGCAGAGCTTCCTCTGCCCCAGAAGCCTGGGGCAGGACCTTCTGCCCACCATCCTGCTGGGGAAAGGTATGGCCAGGAAAGCTTCCTGCTGGGAAGCCTGGGTGGAGGGCAGGGCTACCAGAAGGAATCGCCACACAGCAGTGACCCTAATGCTTGTCCCCTCCAGGAAGCCTTCCAGAACCTCACAGAGGTTGCTGGAATCTCAGGCCTCAGCCCAGGGAGGGTGTCTCCTGTCTCCAAAATGACTGCTTCATACATAGCCCCAGGAGTGTGCACACACTGGTCCCTGCACCAGAACCAGAGAGTCCCCCAGACAGCCTGGGACCAGTCCTCCCTCAGGTGGGGCACTGGAAGCCCAGCTGGCCATAGGCCACTTGCTCTCTGTTGTTTTCAACCAGATGCTCAGCACAGCTGGTCAACTCCCAGGGGCGGGCTGAGTCCTTGTGCCCCACTTCTGGCCTGCTCACTCTCTGAGACCTCCCCCAAGGGGAAGGAGTGGGCATGTGAGCTCAGAAGCCACTAGAGGAGAAAGCCAGCCTAAGTCAGAGGTGTCAGTCTATCAGGGTGGGATTAAACACACTATGGTCAGATTCAGGGGGTGTGCAGGGGGTTACTCTGAGTCCCCTTGTGGTGGTTCACCCTCCAGGCCCCGGGGGTCTGAATGCCAGGGTAACTCTGACCAGATGTGAGTGTGGGTCAGGGGAGGGCAGCCAGTGAGACTGGCCACTTTGCATTCTGTGCCTGCCTGGCTCTCTGTTCCACTGTAGGGGCTGCAGCCCAGTCAGTACAGTCAGGGCCACCACTCTCAGAACTTCCATCTTGATAGCCTGTGAACACAAGGCTCCACCTGGTCACCCCCAGGCCAGGGTCCTCTGGACTGCAGCGTTGGTGTTTGTAGGGACTTACCCGTTCTCCAGGGGCGCCTTTGGGTCCAGGGGGTCCATCCTTCCCAGTCAGACCCTGGGGAGGAAGGTAGAAAGAGGGGCTCAAGGGGCTACCACATGGGGAGCATATAGCCCCCCACCCGGGGAAAAAAAGGAGCCACAGACCCTTCCTAAAGCAAAATGAATAGAGAGACAGAGAAGACTCTCGGGTCTGGCGTACTTAGAGCTGGGAGGTGGAGCTGGGGGTGGGTGAGAGGTGGGAGCAGCAGGTGGGAAACCAGCAATTGGGACCTGTGGGTACAGATCCAGCAGGACCCACATCTCCCATCTCAGCACCCAGTCTGGCTGGTCCTAGAGCCAGGCCTTGAGCCCACGATGACCCATTGAACCAGCCTGGTGCTGGTAGGGTCACAGAGCCGGGCCAGCCTTGGGCAGACGGTTCTGATAATGGGCACTTGTTCCTGGATCAGGAAGAACTGGTGGGACTTCTGACTCTGCTCTGGGCTGCTTCTGTTCCCCGCCAGGCACTACAGAATCTGGATGAAGGCCAGGGACCCCTGTTGGGGACTACTGAAGACTTCTGTCAGGACTGAGTTTCCTGCCTGAGCAGGCCCAGCTGGAGAACAGCAATTAAAACCTGACCCTTGGCTGTGGGGGGGGAGGGGCGAGGGGGGAGCACACTCACGTCCACACCAGGCAGTCCTGGCAGACCCGCCTCTCCTGGTTTCCCAGGCTTCCCTGGGGTTCCTTTTGGTCCCTGTGCAGGATGAAAGGGCAGAGGTATGAGGGAAGGAGGAGTCTATTCCTAAACTCTGGTATGAAGCAGGAAGAAAGGTGCTTTCCATGTTGAGCACCACCTACCCTTGGAGATGGGCTCCTCTCCTTAGAGGCTTTGTCCCCACTGCTGCCCTGCTGGCCCACCCCTTCCTGGCCATATCTGTAGGACATTCCACTGGCCCACTGAGCCTCTCCAACCAAGGACTAGCAAGTCCCTGTGTGGGATTGCCAGTGGACTCTAGAGCTAGACAAGGTAAGAGACCCGGAGCAGCTCCAGGCTGGGTGGACCTGCAGGGCTGTACTGCCCCCTTTCCCTGGTCTGCCTGGGCACTGGCCCAAAGAAAACTTGCAGCCAGACCTGCCCAGAGACACCGAATCCCACATGCTCCCCTCCCACTCCCGTCCTGGCTACTCTGAGGCCTCTCCTAGGGACACAGGCCCAGCACAGTAGGACAGGGCATCAATGACCTTCTGTTCTCTGTGTTCATCTTCTTCTCCAGACTGGAAAAGCACCCCTCCCCACAACCAGGACACTCACCGGGGGCCCGGGCAGACCTGGAGGACCAGCTTCTCCCTGCAGAGAAGGGAGACACTCATGTGTGAACCCTGAAACCTGGGGGTTTCCTGAGAGCCCACGCAACAGAAGCAGAGCAGGGCCAGTCTCATTGGAAACTGGAGTCCTGGAGGTTCAGTCCACGGAGACAACATGGGCTCCTCAGCACCCCTCATTCACCCTAGGGCCCCTCTCTTCTATGGGCACATCTGGGAAAGGGGTGAGCTAGACAGAGGGGCTGAACCCACACAGCATTTGGGAACCACTTTTTGGGCACAGGGACACAACACTGGGAATGTACCCTACAGCCCAACGTCTCCACGCCTAAGGGCTTTAGAAAGTAAGCTGCAGACCAAAAACAGAAAGAAAAGAAAGGAAAACCAAAAAAATAAACAGCAGGCTTTGAGCTGCCAAGAGGCCTCCCAACTCCACCTGCTGGGGAGGTGGCAGCCCCCCCACTACGTTTTCCAGTAGCCTCACTCTCCGTGGACACCCACTAGGGTGGTTAAATCCTTCAACTAGGTCTTTAAGGGCAGGGTTTAAGTGGGAGCCCTGGGGTCCAGGAGCCCACTCCAGCAGGAGATGCACAGAGAGGCCGAGGACCTAGACCCAGTTCCAGGGTCTAACATGGCCCCAGGAACAGCCCTGTGGTGGAGGAGGGATGCTCACGGCCCTCCTAGGGTGTTGGGGACTCACAGGGAGGCTAAGGAGGGGCTTGGGGGGCTCTCAGCACAGCTCCCCATAGACCTCCACATAGACCCAGAAGGAGAAAGGGCATGGTGAAGCCCACCCCAGAGAGCCCGGCCGCCCTGGAGATGGTTGGATGGGGGAGGTTCCCCCCAAACTGTCCCTTTAGGGGACACAGGCTGCAAGATTTCAGCTGCCTCCCCAAATTGTTTGGGCCACACCTGTCAGGGACAACCATGGAGACTGCCTCTCCAAGACTGGCTCCCGTCCTGGCATCCCCAAAGAGACCTCCCAGCCCCCCAGAAGGACATGCCCCACACCCCATGACACCATGAGGTCCGCATCCCCAGAACACAGGAGTACAGGCCCCTCAGGGCACCCAGGGACACCCACCTCAGTGCCCACATTTCTAGCCCAAGGCCCACCCTCTCCCCACACCTGAAGTGGGAACAAGGAGCAGGTTTGTGTTTTCACGTGGGGTTGGAGGGTGGGGAGGTGCTGGCTTAGCTCCCTGTCTCTCTACAGCTCTCAAAGGTAGGACTTGGTTCTGTCACCAACAGGCATGGGGTCTCAGGGAACCCTCCCTCCCCTCTCCCAACTCACATCAATGCCATCCTTGCCGGGCTTCCCAGGTGGTCCTTGGGGACCAGGAGGGCCTCGAGGTCCCGCTTTCTGAAATAGAGAATAGTCATTAGGGAATCCCAACTCCTCAGGAGCTCTGCCCAACAAAGCAGCTCCATTTTCCCATCCCAGATGGCTCTGGGACCTGTCCCAGGCGCCCACCACCCCCAACCTGCCTCAGAGCCCCCCAAAGCCTCCGGTGTGGGAGCCTGGCGCCAGCGCACCGTTTATCCTCGCTCGGGCCAGAAGTGGCTGCGCCGCGGTCCCGCAGGGAGTCGCGGGGAACAAAGGCCACATTGTGCGTTACCAGCGCGATGGCAGCACAGGCAGCAGCCAGACCCCGTCCGGGCAAGGACGGGGTGGCCGTCCGGGTTCATCCGCGACGCGCCCCGTTGTCTGTGGGGCTCAGGCGGACGGGACCCCGCGCGTCTGCGGCTAGGCGGCCAGTGGGGCCAAGAGGCTGCTCCAGGGTCCCCGTGGGCGCGCGGGCTGACCCGCGGTGGCTGCGTGACGGCCGGAGTCGTCCCGGCTGCGCGACTCCACGTCGGACCCCGGCCCCGACCCGCGCGGCCGCCCATCGTGCCAGAGTCCCTCGCTCACCTGCTCTGCGGTGGCCGCCAGGAGCTGTCCCAGCAGGAGCAGCAGGACCAGGGTGGGCGCTCGGACCATGGCGGCTGGTGCTCTGCGCCGCGCGGCGCCCGCGGCTGGGCAGCAGGGCGCGGGGCGGGGGCGGGGGCGGTGCGCAGGCTGCGCCCCGCCCGCTCGTGCACAAGCCCCCCATTCAGCCAGGCCCACCTGGGCGGGCGGAGACGCCGCGCCGGCCTGGGAAGAAATTAGCCCGGCAGCGCATTGCGGCCGCCTCCGAGTTAAAATTACCCCGAGACTGGCGCCTCTCACACACGCACCTTTCAGGGGACAAGAAAGACTGTTTTCACTCCTGCAGCCAAAGTGTGACCGAGAACACCACAGTGAAGGACGCCTTTTAGGAAGGGCAGGGGGCACACCCAGGCTGTCCAAGGCTCAGAAAGACCCCCGTGGGTCAAGCTGCCTCTATGGGGCCACTGTGCCCAACACAGCCTGCTTCGTACTGGGAAGTCCAGGGCCACCTAGCCTCTTACCCTAACTTGAACTGTAGGGAAGCTCGAACCCTGCTTGGCTCAGGCGGCAAAGCCAGGCTGCATCCATGTCAGCCATCAAATGCAGAGTTACGCTCTCATCCGAGAGGGAGCAAGACGGTGACCTGGAGAGGGAGGAAACAGCACAGTGACCTTGGGGCTGAGGGAGTTTGTGTCAAACAGGACTCGGAAAGCTGCTGTGGCCCCTCCTCCCTGCAGGGTGAGGGCTGGCACGTAGGGCTAGGGCTGGACCATCCAAGTCACCTACAAGTCACCTCAAACCTGCACGGTTGCAGCCTACCTCCTGGCAAGTAGAAGCCCCGGTGAAACGCTGCGGGGGGTGGGGGGTGGAGGATTGGTAGGGAGCTGATGGGATAAAAGGAGGGACTGCACAGGAAGGGAGTAGGCCAGGCCCTGGTGGCTCACGCCTGTCACTCTAGGCTACCTGGGAGGCTGCGACGGGGAGGATTGTGGATCCAGGCCAGCCTCAGGAGAGAAATTTCCTAAGACCCCCATCTCAAAAGGAAAAAGCTGGGCGCAGGGCACTTACCTGTCATCCCAGCTATGGTGGGAAGCATAAACAGGAGAATCAGGCCTGCCTAGGCAAAAAGCAAGACCCTATTTCCAAAATAACCAGAGCAAAAAGAGCTGGAGGTGTGGCTCAAGCACTAGAGTGCCTGCCTAGCAAGTGTGAAGCCCTGAGTTCAAATCCCAGCACTGCAAAAAAAAAAAAATAAAGAGATTGAGAGACAGAGAAAGGGGAGCAGAAGCAAAATGGCGCAGGTGAGAATTCGTGTCTGGAGTTGATTCTCCACGAGCTGGCTGCTCCTGTCCCTCCAGTGAGAGGCGTGTGTAGATTATGAAGTACGTTGGGAAGGTAGGGGAGACTCAAAAAGTCCTGCCCTCCAGCAGAGTCTTCTGACAAGGAGAAGGATTGGCTCAGGCAGCAGGGGCTCCATTAGGTTAGGAACCCAGAGCAGCTACATCCCACCCCAACCTCAGGGCCTGGGAACAAGATGGTTTCTCCCCAGCAGTTCAGCCTAGCAAGACAAGGGTATGGCAATCCCCTCAATTACTTCCACCTGATCCTGGACCTCCACTTGGTCCCACAGCCCAGTTCTGCCCCACCCCCAATGCCTAGCATGCAGCTGACAGAAGCATCTGCTGGACAAGACTGAGATGAGGCACAGCTGGCCTTTGCCTTGATCAAGGGCAAAACCTAACACCAAGGATTGTGCTTGGCTTTCTTCTACCCCTCTTTTCAGCCCGCCCCCCCCACCCCCCAACAAACCCACTCACAAAGGGAGGCTAGCACAATAGAAGGAAGGACAAGGGCCTTACAACCCTCTTTGAGCTCGGCAGAACCAAAGTGCCTGTTTTGGGACACCACCCCTGAAGCTCCACGGTCAAGTGAGCCAGGATGACCAGCCATCCCTAGGGCGGGACTGGGCATCGGCTCCTCCTCCTCTTCTTAGTTCAGGTGCTAACTTCCCATCCCACTCAAGCCCACCGTTCAGACTGAGGTCCCTGAACATGAGGGATTGGAATCGCTCTGCCAAGGTGACCGCTTGATGCCCTACATCCATCTCAGTGCCTCAGTTTCCCTTCATAGTGAAAACTCCATCAGTGAGCCAAACCAGGGTTGAGATGCCAGGAGGTCTCACAGCTTCTGGTGGGAGAGGCAGGTTAACTGCGAAAGGCCTCTGCCCTATAGGGTAGGACAAAGCATGACCTTTTCAGGAAGGTGGTTCCCAGACGCACAGGTTTAACTCTCCCTCTCACGAAAGCCTCCAGACCTGTGCTCTGACCCCTACCATTTCCTCTGCCCAAAGGCAAGTGTGTGCCACTTACAGGAGACATGATTTGGGCATCTTCCTCTCAGAGCCTCCACATAGCTCCTCCTGCTGATGTAGGTATGCTGGGGAGTCAGAAAGGAGGCACCTGGCTTAGGGGGCTGCCATGGGAGGTACACAGGACCCACTAGGTAGGATGAAACCAAGGGGGTTGTGGGAAGGCAGCACCTTGGTGAGGTTGGTTGGTAGGGAGGGCACTGCTGAGCTTGCCCTGAGGAATGTCACCACACCCCAAGTCAGGGGAGATGGAAAGATGCTGGCCTAGATGTGCAGCACCCCAAACACTGCCCCAAGCCCACCCAAGGGGGCAGTGCACCACCAGTTGCCAGACTGACTTTTGGGAAGGTGACTTAAGGCAGTCAAGGGGCCAACAGTCTACCCCTTAGGAGCTCAGGGAGGCTACATGTTCAGGACTGAGCAGGCTTGGGGGTGAGGTGCCTGCACCTGGGGACCATTTCTCCCACAGTGGCTGTGCCACTGCTCTGCCCTGACAAGCACTTGGCTGGGATAGCCACATGGCTTGGTACCAGCAAGGCCACTGTGAACCTAGGTACAGAGGAAAGTCTAGAGAGAAGTATCAGTTATAAAACCAGCTCACAGGTCACCAAACAGGACCTTGGTCCACACCAAAAAGACAAAGTCAAATGAGTTTATTCAGAAAAGGCCTCACTTGGCACCAGACTAAGAAAAGACCCCCTCCCCCAGACCCTTAAGGATCTATTCACAAACATGGGCTCAGAGGGCAGCGGGGGATGCAGTGAGGTAAGGAGGGTTCTGAAGGCCTCGGCCTTCCCTGAGGGCAGGGCCTCGGTCCTTCTGGTGGCCACTGCAGTGACCACCAGGGAGAGGCCAACACTGCTGGGCACCGAGGAGAGCCAGTCACAGGGCTCCAGGACCAGGTCCCCATGCAGCAGGCTGGGCAGGGCCAGCAAACTCACCCTAACTAAGGCTTGCTGGGTTTGGCAGAAGACCCTGGCTCTGCTGCCTCCCCAGACTCATCCACTGAGCTTTCTGTGACATCAGGGCTATGGTCTTCCAATGGGCTATCAGGGGCAACCTGCTCTGGCCCCACCTGGCTTTCTGAGTCCTCTACTCCATTGGGACTTTCCGGGTCCTCCTCTACTCCATTGGGACTTTCTACATCCTCCTCTACTCCATTGGGACTTTCTGTGTCCTCCTCTACTCCATTGGGACTTTCTGTGTCCTCCTCTACTCCATTGGGACTTTCTGTGTCCTCCTCTACTCCACTGGGACTTTCTGTGTCCTCCTCTATTCCATTGGGACTTTCTGTGTCCTCCTCTACTCCATTGGGATTTTCTGGGTCCTCCTTTTGCCCATCCCCGCCCTTTTGGGCCTCAGGGCTCGCTGATGGGGCAGAGGACAGAGCAGGGGCTGACATCTGGGGGCTGTCATTGGCTGCCTCTGTGTCCCTGGTACCCTCCTCCACCTTCCTCCTCTTCCTCACTTCATCTGACACTCCAGCCCCTGGGGGTGGGGGGCAGGGCTGTTCAGCCTCCCCAGAATCCTGGCTGCATGGGCTGAGGGCACAGCCCTCCAGGTTCAGAGCAATCTTCTCCACCTCTGAGGTGCCCTCGGTGCCCAGCTCTCCTGGGGCCTGCTCCCGCTTGTTTCCCTCCAACTTCCTCTTCTTGCTTTCTTTGGCGCTCAGGGGCTCAGCCTCATCCTCCTGGTGCTCTACCAGGGACCCTGCATCCTGGTGCTCTGCACTCAGCAACTGGGGACCCTTGGCCACCACACTGTCCCCACGTGGGTCCTTCTCAGGCCCACAGATCTGACCCTGGGTGTCCTGGAGGGGGTCCCTGGGGGCCTCATCCCCTTCTACCTGCTCAGAGCCCCCCAGTGGCCGGGGCATGGCGTGGGGCGTGAACCTCCGCAGCTTGTCGTGGGGCCCCCAGACGAACTTGCTGCGGGGCTGGAAGTGCTCCCACGCGAAGTGCACAAGCTCCCGGCGCTGGTGCCGGGAGCGCACTGCAAACAGGAAGTAGTCCAGGGCGCTCTGACGCACACCGAGCAGCTCGCCCCGCACCAGGGTCTCCTCCAAGAAGAAGCGTGCCAGAGGCGCCTGGTAGTGGTCTAGGCCGAGCTCGCCCAGTGACTTCAGGATACGTGTGATGCGCAGGTTGTTGTGGCTGTGACTGTGGGAGGGAGGTCAGGTGAGCTGGGCCTGGGGGTGCACATTCAGCCAGCTCCGCCAAGAACTTCCAAGACCCTCCCATCCCCTGTGTCGCGGACCCCTGGACCTGTGGGTGGGAGTGTCCCGAGAGGAGCTGCCCCAGTCTGTGACCCGCCTTTGGGGAGGCGCTGGCTGGAGGAGATCAGAGGTAGGAACACAGCGGCAGCACGGGGTGCAGTCTGCAGACTGTTCCTGCTCTGTTCCCCATAGGACTGACTCCACCCAGGCAAGGAAGCAGTTTCCTCAACAGATTTGCAACCCTGGCAGGTGGTGCCACCCCTGCCCTGCAAGCCAGGAGAGGGTGCTCAAAGCCTGCATCCTGACTCAGAGACTTTTGACCTGCTTTGTATGTAGCACCAACCCCACCCCACCCCTTCTCCACTCCCCCACCTTCATCTGGAGGGGCAGAGGGGCTCCCTTAGATACTAGTATGTGGGCAGGAGGCCGGTCCTCACCAGTTCAGATTCCTGAAGCGCTGCTGGTAGTTCTGTGCTCGGCTCACCGCACCTGTGTCCTGGTCCTCCAGTCGGATCCCGTAGAAGCCTAGCATGAGCTCATAGGCCCGGACAAGTCGCTCTCTGACCTCCGTGGAGCTTTTGAACGCCTGGAAAACACCCCCAGGGAGCTCAAGCTGCCCTCCTTGGACCATTGTTCCTGGGAAGCCTCAGGGTGGCCACAGGACATGGGGTTACTGATACCTCCTTCAGGTCCTAACTCAACTTCTCAGAGTAAAATGACAAGAGACACGCAAACACATCTCCTGCTATCCTCTGAGCCTCTGCTTTACCAGAGCCAAAGTCACAGAGTGGTGGGAAGGCTGCCCCCTTTGTGTGCCTGCTTTACACATTCCTTGCTGCCCAAGCCCCTCCTGTTCCTTATTGCCACCACTCCATCTCCCAGGGCCTCCCTCTGACTCCTGGACAGGTGACAACAGCCCTGGAGAGTCAAATTTCCAGATGCCGCAGTACACCATGGCTGGGTGAGAACTACTTTGCAGGGAAGAGCATTAATGAGGAGGCTCTTTTGGCCCCTGTGCCTTCCGAGGCATACAGACACCTGCTGTCAGGTACAACTTTCTCTTTAGGCCTTTCCATTTCCCCAATCTGGCCCAATGGGAGCTCACCTCCACCTCCCTGAGTGTGAGGGGCTTGGCATGCCAGTTTACTCCTGGCTCCCGCAGAGGAAAGAGCCTGTGAGGAGGGAGAGGGAGAGGGAGGAAGACCTGTAGTGATCAGGGGCTGGCTCCCAGCCCTCAGACTCATGCTGGCTGGGTGGCCTCTGGGGCTTATGTCTTAACTCTAAGAGAAGCTGGTTGGTCTTCCATAATACACAAAGGAAAGGGGCAAGGGTGGCAGAGGAAGGCCCAGGACAGGTGAGTGTGGCTAACTGGAGCCCAGTCTGCACACTCAGTGGGTCAAGTGGCAGAAAGTCACTCACCTTTGCCTGCCACCCTTTGGGGGTGGGGGGGGGGAGAAGAAGGGCAGGGTTTTCCCTCCCATACTTTCAAACTTCCTTCTCTCTCATCATTAGCACTCAGCATCATTTCTGTGCTGCACCCATGCCAGGAGGCTCACATGAGCTGTCCAGGGGGCTGTTCTTTAGCAAGGCACACTGCACTTACTGGGCAATGTCACTGCATCTGAGGTTGCCATGTGGCATCTTACCCAGGTCTGACTTGGAACCCCACCATGGCGCAAGTCAGGCATAGCCCAGCCCCAGTTGTACCTCCCAGCTGGCAGGCCCACACATCCTCCCCCACCAAGCAGGTGGGTGATATTTCCTGTCTTCCCGGGTTGTTTCAGCTCCCAACTGCAGAGGCTGCTAAAGAGCTAACACTGTGGGATGGGCCCAAGGCTTCCCTCAGCGGTCACCGCCTCTGCAGAGCCCATGGGGGTGCACACTGGCTTCCAAGAGAGACAGAGTGCTCAGTGCGCACCCTGAAGCAGGGGAAGGCAGCATATGGCCCGAGACTGCTGCCTGGGTGCCCTGCTCCTCCTCTCCTCCCCGGGACCCCCCCTACTCCAGCCACTCACCACTGGATGTAGGAGTGATTGTCCTCAAGAACGTCATAGTTATCCTTCCAGTGCTGAAGAATGTCTTCAATGAAACACCCTGGGAGCACCGTGGGGACAAGTCAGCTGTGGAGGCCACCTTGACAGGGCTCAGGGGACAGACTTTTGTCAAAGTGTCCCCAGTGCCCCTCTTCAATTCCTTTAGGACCTCTAGCGTTCTTAGGATTCAACAAAGCTGTCCATACTTCCTCTGATATAAAGCCACACTTTGTGTCCCAGATTCTTGTCTACAGTGTGGAAAACAGACCCTCACTGCTGACTAAGGGCAAACCGTAGTCCTAGACTCAGCCCTGCCTCTGCAGAAAGAGGGGTCTCCTTGTATCCCTGAAAACAGCCTTTTAATCATGGAACTCTGTTTTCAAATAGAACCTGCAGCAGAACCCAACCCTGGTACAAAGTCTAGAGCAGGTCAGGCCTGTGTCTGTGAAAGGCAGGCAGCAAATACCTTAGGCTGGGCCTGGGGCATGGCTCAAGTGGTAGAGTGCCTGCCTAGCAAGTGTGAGGTTCTGAGTTAAAACCCCAGTACTACCAAAAAAACCCCAAAACCAAAAACCGAAACAAAAAAAACCCCACATGGGGTGGCAAGTGAGAAAGCAACCTGGCAAATGTATGAGTGTGAGTGAATGCCAATAATATATTACTTAATTTCATATAAGTTTTAGGTTACAAAACATTACTTTTTATTCAACCACTTAGAAACATAAAAGCCATCCTTTAGCCAGTGCCGGTGGCTCACGCCTGTAACCCTAGCTACTCAGGAGGCAGAGATCAGGAGGCTTGCAGTTTGAAGCCAGCCTAGGTAAATAGTTTGCGAGACCCTATCTCGAAAAACCCTATGACAAAAAATTGGGCTGGTGGAGTGGCTCAAGGTGAAGGCCCTGAGTTCAAGCCCCAGTACTGCAAAAACAAAACAAAACAAAGCAAACAAACAAAAACCCAAACCATCCTTTGCTCGTTAGTTTGCAATGCTGCAGAACTGTGCAGTTGGGACAGAGACCCTGTGGTTAGAAAGGTCTCAAAGGCTTACTCTGGCCCAATTATCTTGGCCGCCACTAGGGGGCACTGTGGGGCCATCTGAAAGTCAAGGTCAGAATGTGGGGCACAGATCAAACCCCAGACAGGTGGCCTATCCAAGAACAGAGCTGCTGGTAGCTTGAGGGTAGGTACCATTTGGCTGGAAGCAGATCTCATTTTTGTAGAAACTTAGGTTGGCCATGTCACCATTGCAGTCTCCATCTACCAAATCCTGGAGAGCCAGAGAAAGGGAGTAGTCAGGGTCTCGTTGGAAACAGGCCGCCTCTTAGGGCCCCTCAGACTCACACATTCTGAGGGATGGGGGTGGGATGCATCTGCAAGCCTCTGCACCTACTGAGGCTGGTCCAAGACCTGGAAGCCTAGTGTGGCTCCTCTGCTGGCAAGAGCAGGCTCAGGGCTCAGCCTTGCTCTGTATCCTCAAGGGAGCCTGGCACTGTCTGAGTTTCATGGGTGTAGACGACAAGGGCTGAGGACGATCCCACCCCAAGGAGGCCGGTAGCACCAGGCGGGGGAGCCCTGGTATGGACGTGCACTGAACTGCACATCTGTGTCAGAAGGTGGGCACTGAGGCTCAGAGAAGCAGGACAACTAACTGCATCACACCATGACTGGGGAAGAGCAGACATCGGGAGCCACATCAGGACAAGGGGCACACCCCAGCACTGTGGTCCAAGATGGGTTTCCAGTAGAACAAGGACATTCTGTTTCAGAAGAGGGCTGACAGGAGGGTTCTGGGTCTCCAGGTGGGCTGCAGGTACTTACCGGGTAGTGGTGCCGGTACCTGCACATGTCCTGCATGGCTCGCCAGTTGCGGGACCCTGTCATCCTGGACTAGGAAAAGAAGAAACAGGATAAGACTCCTGTGGAGCCTCTTGGGTGAACCTCCACTCTGGTGAGGACCCCACAGTGGTCAATGAGCTGTCTTTAAGAAGGGTAAGTGTGCTGGGTGCTGGTGGCTCATTCCTGCAATCCTAGATACTCAGAAGGCAGAGATCAGGAGGATTGTGGTTTGAAACCAGCCTAGGGAAATAGTTTGTCAGACCCTATCTTGAAAATATCCATCACCAAAAAAGGGCTGGTGGAATTGCTCAAGGTGTAGGCCCTGAGTTCAAACCCTAGTACCAAACACTTGTATACACACACACACACCCACACACACATTTTTCATGGTTCTTGCTTCCAAACCCTCAGTTTTTTGAGGGGATTCCCAACAGCCAGAGTTGAGGCCTACCATATTCCTGCCCTTCTCAGGAATCCAGGCTTCCACTTCAGGGTAGCCTAGCCAGGCCATCTGTGTCCTCCCATTAAGAGGAGGTTTGGACACCCTCTTAGTTCCAAGCCCCAGATTAGCTGGTTACTCTCACTCTGATCTCAGACCATTACTTCCCCCCAGGTCTCTAAATCCCACAGTACTTCCTCTTACACTGTGCACTAATGTGTAACCAGGCCACTTTCCTAAGGGCAGCCACTTTGCAACCTACAGTCCCAGGAGGGGACCCAGATACTTCTGGCCAGATCTGATGAATGAATGAATGAGGCCCTTTCCCTGCGCTCCTCATTGGCCAGATGTGATGGGGGCTGCCCCTCCAGCCCTGCCTGAGGCTGTCTTTTCAGCAAGACCAGGGGCTCCTTGATGCCCTCTTCCTCTTCATCCTCCTTCTCTGCAGGCCAAGTACCATGGGCTCCAGGGCAGGATCAGAGGAAACCCTGACAAGGGTGCCAGGGAACTCAGTCCTAACCTTATTCTATTTACGAGCAGAGAAGGGTGCACGGTTGGGACCAGTTGGGCAGGATGGCTGCTGGAAGATGGAGTCCTGGGTAAACAGCGCATACAGAAATAGCTTGTTCTGCCCAGAAAGCAACTGAGTCTTGGGACTGCAGGAGCACTAAATGAGGCAGGAGGTCAGCCCCACACCCCCAACTCTGAGCCTCTCCTTCCCTTATGCCTAAGGCGCTCTGACTACAGCTTGGGTCTAGCCTTTCCTCTGCCTGACTAGTGGACAGAAACTGAAACTCAGAAGAGGCCAGCCCTATCCCCTGAGCTTCCACTTTTCCTGGCCAGTAGGGACTAGACACACAGCTCAGGGCAGGGCCAGCCTTGTGAGGCAAACCCAGACAAAGCAAAACAGTCTCTTCAGGATCACATGCAGAGCAGCTTTGGAGAGTCCAGGGGATCTGCAGGGGAGGAGGGGCTTGGGGTTCTGTGGAAGGACAGAAACTTTCCAGGCAGGAGGCAGAAAAGATCAAAGGTCACAGGCACATGTTAAGGAGTGTGGCCCAAGAACTTCAGTGAGCAAGGATCATCTCACATCAGAGCTCACCTGGTGGGCACAAGGAACCAGGGCAGAGCCTGCGCCCTCCCTGTGACCCTGCCCCTGCCCAAACTGACTCCCCCATTTCAAAGTCCTGCAGGTGTGCTGAGAGGCAGAGGGCAGCACTGAACTTCCAGGCAGGTCCAAGTGTTCCTCCAGATTCTCCAGCCACGCTCCCTGACAACTCCAGATCACCACGATCAACCAGAAACCAATGTTCTTAGTAATGGGGAGAAGCCATCCCAGGGACCTTAGTCCCCAGTTCCAGTCGCTCTACCACACTTGGAACCATAGGTGGAACCAGGACATCACAGCGCTGTACAGACTGGATGCCCGTGACTGCCGGCAACCAATCACTGCCAACAAAAGTAGCCCCTGGAAAGACAGGAGCAGGTGTCAGCAAATGCAACGAGGGCGCTGACTGACAGCTGGTGCCGGCTTCAAGCAGGTCACCCAGCAAGGCTCAGCCCCTGCCTCGCTCGGCGGGTGTGGCACTCAACACGGGGACCCCGTGGGGCCCCGGCGCCCGAGCCAGGGGGAGGGCTAGGTACCGGTGAAGAGGCTCCGTCCAGCCTCGCGCCCGGGGCGGGGGAGCCACCAAGAGGTGAGGGGCTGACGGAGGTGGCGGGGCCCAGAGGCGGAAGGGGTGGAGGTGGGATGGGACCGAGGTTAGTCAGGATGTGCCCAAGGCATCCCCGAGGAAACTGCCAGCCACGCACGGTCGCCGCCCTCAGGGACGCGGCTCTGACGTCACCCACACAGGACCCTGTTCCGGGCGGCGGCTCTGACGTCACCCACTCGGACCCCGGCCGGGCCTCGGCGCTGGGGGCGGCCTCAGGCCGGGCCTCGGGGGTCCGGGGGGTCCCGGGGGTCCGGGCGCTCGAGGCCGGGGGTCTTCCCTTCCGACGCGGCCCTTCCCGCTCCGCCCGGGCCGCACCTGGAGCGCGCCGGGCCGCGCCGCCCGCGTCCCCTCCGCGTCCGCGCCCCCGTCCTCGTCCTCCGCGTCGCCCGCGTCCCCCGCCAGGCCGTCCTCGCCGTCCTCCGCGTCCTCATCGTCCTCCCAGGTGGAGTCGCAGTCCGGATCGTCCATGCTCGGCGGCGGCGGGACCCGCTCGTGGCGGAAGCGAAAGTGAAAGAGGAGGAAGCGCGGGGGCGGGGCGGGGGCGGCTCCAGGCCCCGCCCGTGCGCCCCGCCCGCGGCCGCGCGCCCGAGGGTCCTCGCGGGACAACGGACCGCCCCGCCCCGCGCCGCCCGGGATGCCCGGCCGGCCCTGCCGCCTGACCTCGGACGCCTTCCACACGCCCCGAGGACGCCCCCCGAGAAGGAGGGGATCCGTCTAGGACGGTGCCCCTCGGAATATCCCCACCCCCGACGCGGATGACCTCAGGGAGGGTGTCTCCCTAAAGGACAACCTGTGGAGGTTATCCACGGGGGATGTCTGTCCATTCCCCCCAGAGACCACCCTCCAGGCCCTACCCCGGCAGGTTTCACTTCCTTGCAGTACACCTGACCGCAGAGAAACCCCCTCCTGAAAATATGCCTTCCCCCCCCAGGATGCCATCCGTGGTAGTGGGGGATCTCCTTCCCCACTGCTAGCCCTAAGGCCTTTCTGAGTGCTGGTCTCTAATCCTTGTTGGCCTGTCAACCTTTAGTAACTCACAGGGACAATCTCTCCTGGCGGGAATCTATGTCTACATCACCTCACTTTTTAAAGGACGGTAGTGAATCCCTGAAGCTATTATGGAGCTCCAGACAGTTCTGCAAGTTGTCCTCTCACCATGGCTGGGGCAGGTTTCCAGGAGCATGCGAAGGAACAGTCCCAGGCCTCAGGAGGGGTGGACCACTGCAGACTGTGACCACCGTCCTGACCTTGTCACGTGATTTACAGCTGGGACCTGGTTATAATTCCAGGATAGGTGAGGAGACCCATTCTGAACTTGGTCCTGGGGACAGCTCTCAGGGTTTGGCTGACCTGGGAGCACTTGGGTGGGCAGGCTTCCTCTCCACTGCCGCAGAAAACAGAAGGACAAGCATGCAGTGTGCTGATGATACTGCTCACAGGGGACAGCGTCCACTGCTAGTGCTGCCAGCACAAGGGCTACAGAACCACATTGCCAGAGTTGCTTCAAGGCATGGCACAAGCTGTGTTTTGCAAATGCAGCCATACTGTGTCCCTTCAGTTGCTTTATGCACAGATGTGCAGAGCCCTTTCTAGGGAGCTTTGTGATGGGCGCCCCTTCCCTGAGCGTCCTCTGGGTTCAGTGGACCCAACTGGCTCTGTGTTCCTGGCGGCTTTGCTGCCCTTGTTGCAGTCATGCAGGAAAGGAGTCACCTGCACACGCAGGTGGGTGTTGCTCATGGTTGAGTCTTGCAGAAGCTTGAAATGGGCTCAGGTTAGAAATGTCTGAGCACTTCCTTCAGGCAAAACCAGTTGCAGTCATGTTATTTGGCCCAAGGGTGCCCTCCCTTGTTCTGCAACTTGCTACCATTCAGCATTTACTCTCTGCTTGGGGAGCAGCACAGCCCATTCTCCCTCCTTGGAAGCCCTGAGACCAGACTGGGAGCGGTGCAACCACACCTTCCTGAATGAGCCTTAACTGGACTCCCACCCCGTGGAGAAACTGTCTGTGATCTGCTGAGCAGGTGTCCTTATGGAACTGGGAGTCCTTGGCACAAAGCGTCTCCAGTCTCAGCATCAACAGCCACTTTTAAAACTTCAAGTGTGTGTTGTTGCAAAACCTGGTTCCTTTGCTCTGCAGTCAGCAGGGATTCTTGTCCTTGTGCCGGGCACTTTGGTCGCTTCACCAGGACATTACTGGTAGGGTGCATATTCACCCAGAGTTCCAGGTTCTGCCCTAGGCCTGGAAAGGGCATGTGCCCCACAGGAGTCCAGATCATGTCGCCCTGGGGTCTTGCTTACATGCCAGCAGAGTATGACCTGGAGCTCCCACAGGGACAGTGAGAAGCTCATGTTAGCCGTAAGGGCTGAAGAACCCAGAGGGCTGCTCATCTGTTTAGCTCTGTGGGCCTCTTGTGGGGGAGGGCTGCCAGAACCGCAGGACGCTGGGGCTGTGGGGGTAGACTGGCTCCTAGAAGTGCAGTAAAATGTGAAAACACAGGAGCTGTGCCAACTCACTGACCAAGCTTTCCCTGCATGCTGAGTCCCTGAAGATGCTGTTTCAGATGGGATTTTAGAAGTGGGGCTGACTGAAGAGGGTGGGCCCCTTCAGGGTCACCATCTGCTCTCCATTTTCCCTCCTAGCTCTGGACTCGAGGCCAGGCTTCTGTCACAGATCATGACTCCAGCAGTGGGACTAGCCCAGAGTGCATCAAGCGAGGGCTGGCCTTAAGAGACCACAAAGCAGTGGAGAGACCACACCCTTCCCTCAGCCAGGGTGAGGGGAGGGCACCCAAGCTGGTTCCGCAAACTCAATGCAATGCCAAACTCACTTCCTCTCTGCCTCTTCCTCACGGCACTGCTCCCGGTCTGAGTATGTGGCGTGAGCAAGGTTGTGTGGGACCTCATCTCAGAGAGAGCAGGACTGTTTTCTACCCCACTCCACCAGGCAGGGTGTTACTGACAAGGTGTGGATCTGCCAACTCTACAGAAGGGCCCAAAGGGTCCCGCATGCAGCTGGTCTCCCCTGGGGCTGGGCAGGCCAGGAGACCAAGTGCCTTCCAGGTGAGCTCACTGGTGTCCACACAAGATGCTCTTCCTGTGCTGGGAATTTGGATCTGGTCTGTGCCCTGCCAGGGAATGATGGCTGGCAAAGATCACCCTGGGCCCTGACGCGGTGCCATCTCACAGCTGGGGAACCCTGCAGAGGGCGGGGTTCGGGCGGGTAGGGGGATGGTGTTCAGTCCCAAGGTAGGGTCAAGAAGTCAAGATGAGGGTGTGAAGTCTGCCAGGACAGAGCAAAGCATGTCTGCTCATCATCCTGAAGGACACAGACAGCCGCCTTGGTTGAATGCAGCTCAGCAGGCAGCAGGGAAGTGCTTGTCATCTTTAACAAAGTAACCAATCTGGACCTGTTACTGTTTGCTTGTACACTGTATCAAGTGATGTTAACACATCATCTAAGTGAGCTCTTCAGTTTTGAATCTTGGAAAACAAAACTTTCTTCTGCAGAAAAAAGCTTCCTTACTTGGTATGAGAACCACACAACTCCAGGTTGATTTCTGTGCTTTAATGTTCTGCAAATGAAAGCAAACTTCAACCAGCTCTGGGCCACCGCCTCGTCAGCCTGATGGCTGGGCTGTCCCTCCACCTTCTCATTTGGTCTTTTTTGCAAGTTACTAGAATTACAAAAATAACCACTACAAATTCTCTGTATCTGGCATATAAAAACTGAGCAAAAAATATCTCGGTGGTTGATATCTTAAAACAAAACAGCTCAGAAAAAATACAACACAGGGTTAACTTCTGCAGTACTTTTTCTCATATAAAACACTAGTAAAATATGTTTCTTAAAAATTAAATAATGAAATACCAACCATAATATATACATCATTACAGTACAAGTGAATGAGGCAAATATCCAGTTCTGCTTCCCAGGTGGGGAGGGAGGCCACCAGAGCTGTGGGGTGTGGCATGAGGTCCAAAGCCGCGCTCTCCTGATGTCAGCACAAAAGGCCGCCTTGGAGAGGGACAAGCAGATGCAAAGAGCGGGTGCCTAGGAGACTGGCTCCTTCTGACAGTGAGGACGGTGTTTTATTGCTTGCTGACTCTTGGTGTTCTGGCTCCATGCCTCTGGCTCCCCTCCATGCAGCATGGGCACAGGTGAGCCAGCCAGAAGAAGACAGAAGGTGGACTCAGGGCCTCACCATCTGCACGGGTCCATCCCATTAGGCCCCCTGATGTCTGACAACATGGCGGAAGCCCCCCCAGCCATCCCTGCTGGACAACCACATTCACTTGGGACTGAGGATAGGCAGCAGGGGCTTGCAGCATCAGAACATGCTGCCACCTGGGGCTGAGGTCTATGTTCGGCGCCGCTTGGCAGCACTGGGGCTGGAAGGGTTGCTGTTTGCGGTCAGGACTTTGTCTGTGACCCGGCTGCGCTTCCGCTTGTCCGCCCCTTCTTTGCACCCCAAGTCTGAGGAGTTCTTCTCTTTGTCTTTGCTGGATTTTTCTATTGCCTTCCCCAAGCTCCCTGAAGATGAAAAAACTGAGAAACAAAATAATTTGGCTGAAAACAGAACACAATCACTGCATCTCCCTGTTCAGTCAGAAAATGAGAGTCTAAACATGATCCTCTGAACCCAATAGGCTTCCTCCTCTACAAGGAGCCCTTAATCATGGGCCTGGTTCTGGTGAGGGCCTCCCAACTGAGAGAGCCTCAGGGTCCCAGGCTCCAGGCTTGGCCAATGTCAAGTGAGGGAAGACTGAGCACTGAATTCCTGCACAGGGACACTATCTATCAAGACTCCACCTGCCTGAGGTGTGCTTTTAACTAAATTCTTGGTCCTGCGACACTACGACCCCGTGACCACTGCCTGTGTGAGGGAGGCTTCTGGGGTGGGGACATGGATTGCTGTGCTCCACACTTACCATCATCAGCCCCGTTGTGGGGGTCCACATCTTCCTTCATCTCCTCTTTCATTTCCTCTTCAATGACCACTTTTCCTGTGGAGGAGACAGCTGACGTTCACTGGAAACCCACGGTGGTGGCCAGCGCTGGGGGACGGTCGGGCCAGGACTGCTTCTGACTCTCGCTGCCCACACAGGCCTCGGCGTCCATCACGAGATGGCATCCGTCACAAGACGGCATCCATCATGAAACTGCTCTTCAGCAAAATCCTCCCCCATCCTGCAGGTTCCCAAGACTTCCCACATGCAGGTGGAGCAGGGCCTACGCAGGACCCTTATACCTCCCTGGAGGCCCCTGACCTCCCCACCCTGGCCCAGGTCTGGCCTTTTCTATTCCCAAGGCTGACCTCAGCCGAGTCTCACCTTCTCGGACCTCCTGAATGATCTCTTCTGGAAGGACGAAGTTCCTCTCCGGATTTGGGAATGGAAGAATCTCAGACTCATGCTGACAGCAAACAGTATTTTGTATTTTTAAGAAACAAAGAAAATGTGATGTCAGCAAGTCACTAAAGATGTAAAGGAGCAGCCAGCCAGCAGAGATTGTTGGAGCTGTGACTGGGTGGGCTTGGTGTGAAGACCCTCCTTTCTCCTGCTTGCAGGAGAACGTCATGGCTGGGTTCTCGAGATAGGCCAGGGGAGCCATGCTAGTGCCAGACCCGCAAGGATCCAGAGGGAAGAGCCAGGCTGGCACAACTGAGAGGCCCTGAGGACACATGGCCCCTGCTGGCACCCGCCTGCTCCACTTATTACCGTGTTTTCCCCCAGATGGTGCTTCCCCAAGGGGCATCACCAGTGACAGCCCCAGGCAAGGCTCCAAGTACCTCCAAATCCCACCCACCCTGGTTACTTAGTTACCTGCCCACCCTCAGACAGCAAGAACTTTCAGCTCCATGCAGATGGGGACTCCATCTGCCTGGCTCCCTCAGAGGCCGCCACTTAGGGTGCCTTGGATAAGGTCTTTCCACCTAGAGCACTTCTGGGGCTCCTGACAGACTGACAATGGCCAGGGGCCTGGGCCTCTGCACCCTCCACTTGTCCCTGTGGCAGATGCTCCTCCTAGGGACCTCAGCTTCTACTTGTCTCCCTGGAGACTTCTGCTGACTGCCCAGTCTAAAGTAGTGTCCTTGAAAAAAGTGGCCGGCTACTATCAGTAGTTTGTGCTTTCTGCAATACTACTTAAGCTCTCTGGTTTAAAGACTTGTCCTGATGAGGAGGCCCACCTGCTGCTCTGCCCAGCAGACCCTGGTGGTGAGAGGAACCCTCTCCTGCAGTTGGGTCTGACCTTGGGAAAACAGAGTGGGGCTTGTTTGCCTGCTGCTCCCCAACACTGGGTGGGCAGGGGTCCAGCTCACCAGTGCCTGCATGTCATACATAGTGCTCAGATGGTCCCAGATGACCTTGGATGGGACCTGTCGTCCAATATTCTGGCTGAACTTGTCCCGGATGCAAATCATATGGAAGTGTCGATTCACTCCTGTGAGGAGGGGGGCAGGTGTGTTCAAACTAGGGCTGGGAGTGTGACAGGGAGCAGAATGTCAAAGGAAGCTGGGGTGCCTCATTGGCATGGGGCAAGGGTGTGTGGGTAGGGAGCCAAAAGGGCAGGCAGGGCAGGGGTGTCCTGGGAGTGGGTCTCAGGGCAGGGAGGACAGGAGTGTACCGGAAGGGGTGGGGGTCGCGGGGTGGCGAGGACAGGGGTGTCCCGGAAGGGGGGGGTCGCGGGGCGGGGAGGACAGGGGTGTCCCGGGAAGGGATGGGGGTCGCGGGGCGGGGAGGACAGGGGTGTCCCGGGAAGGGGTGGGGGTCGCGGGGCGGGGAGGACAGGGGTGTCCCGGGAAGGGTGGGGGTCGCGGGGCGGGGAGGACAGGGGTGTCCCGGGAAGGGATGGGGTCGCGGGCGGGGAGGACAGGGGTGTCCCGGGAAGGGGTGGGGGTCGCGGGCGGGGAGGACAGGGGTGTCCCGGAAGGGATGGGGGTCGCGGGGCGGGGAGGACAGGGGTGTCCCGGGAAGGGATGGGGGTCGCGGGGCGGGAGGACAGGGGTGTCCCGGGAAGGGATGGGGGTCGCGGGGCGGGAGGACAGGGGTGTCCCCGGAGGCCCCGCCCTGCCCCGCCCAACGGTTGGTGCGCCCCGCCCCCACGCGGGTCCGCGGCCGCCGGCGCTCACCGACGGGCTTGTGGCCCAGCATGGCGTGGAAGAGGCACACCTCCACCTCGGGGCTCCACACCACCGTCTCCTCCGCCGGGCTCGTGGCCGCCTCTCCCGGACCCTTGTCGCCCGGGGCGCCCCCGCCGCCCACCTCGGCCTCCCCCATGGCCGCCGGCGAGCGACAAGCGCCCGGCGCGAGCAGGCGCGGCCCCGTTTCCGCGCAGGCGCACTCGCGGACGGCGGGCGCGCGCTCGGCGGCTGGGCGCGGGCTTACGCGCCGCTTGTGCGCAGGCGCAGCAGGGCCGGCTTCCGGCGCGCATCGCGGCGCCCTCTGAGTAAAGGCCCAGTAAGAGACAGACTGCATTGAGATGAAGAAAAATCACGCCTGCAATTCCTGCAATCTCAGCCACTCTGCAGGCAGACATCTGGAGGACTGTTGTTCTAGGCCAACCTGGGCGAAGAGTTAGGGAGACCCCATATGAAAAACAAACCAGTGGTGGTGGTGCATGTCTGTTATCCCAGCTACTTGGGAGGCAGAATAGGAGGATCTTGGTTAGAGACTGGCCCAGGAAAAACAAAATTAATTTTTGAAAAGGCTGGGCGTGTGGTTTAAGTGATAGAACACCTGCCTGGCAAGCAAAAGGCCCTAACTGTCCTGACTGCCAAGGCCTGTCCACAGCCCTGTGACCATCTCAGGTTGAAACCCCACTGAACTGCATACTTCAAACACTGTAATTTACAGCTCAGTGAAGCTCAAAATAAAACCCAGACAACACTGCAGGGCAGTTCTGACCAGCTGTGATTGCACTGACCTGGGCACTGGACGGAGGGATTCGGGCACTGATGGTTGAGTTGAGTGCTTCTGGCCCTTGCCAGTCTTGACAGCCTGAGGCTGCCCATCCCCTGCTCCTCTTGGGCGACTGGACAGGCAGGACTTCCTGCGGGTGTTATCTGCTGGTCTGACTGCAGGGTGGGGTGGGTGGGGCGTGGTCTGGGTGTGGCTAGCCTGGGCACAATGGCCTCCAAATGCAGGTCTCTCAGGTGGAGGACCAAGCCACCAGGGTGTCCTCTGGCAGGAGACCCGCTCAGAATCAGTAGGTGCAGGCTCCATGTCAGGCTTCCAGGTCTCTTTCCTGGCTCTTCCACCTCCCTGCAGTGAGACCACAGCATCCCATTGCCCTGTGGTATTGACGAGGGCTGTCTGCAGGGTGCACCTGGCCTGGGTGCCTTCCCCGCACCCAAGTCCTGGCTTGCACCAGCCTCTCCCAGGCTTCCGACTTAACGAGGAAGAGCCTAAGCAGTAAGTGCTACTCCTTGGTGGGCCCAGAGGCTCGGAGTGATCAGCCGTCTGGGGCAGGGCCTCAGCTACCCCATGTGTGCATGGCGAAGCAAGTGAGGTCAGTCCCCACAATGCCTCCACTATGCTGAGGGGGAGGTGTGGCCCAGTGAGTCTTTATAAGGGGCCCAGGGTCACCAGCTGGTGAGTGGAGCTGTGACATGGCTGGGGGTTCTGACCCTGCTCCCCCTCCCCCAACACACACACCTGAGGCACCTGTCCTCCTGCCTTTACCTGGCCAGCTCATGGGTCTTACCTCAGCTGAGAGCTGCAAGGCTGGAGACAGTACAGCCTGGGGCTGTCACACACAAAAGCTCAGGAGATGGTGGCCAGCGCCATTATTCATTTCCTGGTGGTTCCCTGGACACCTTGGAACCTGTTCCTGACTGGGTAAAGCTCTGTGCTCACCTGTACCCATCCCTACCAGGTAAGAGTCTCCTTCACCTTGGAGAGTCATCTTCCACAGGAAGCATCCCCCACCCGGCCCTGAAACTCTGTCCTGCTGTGGTCCTGTCTGCTCTGTGTGGCCTACAGGTAACCACATCCCTTCAGCTGCTACCTTCAGCTGGCCCCTGTCATTATAGACAGGTCCTGGAATGTGTGCCTGGCAATCAGATCCATGCAGTCAGCTAGGCTGGATAATTTGGGCAAAAGGGAACCCCCCTCCACTTTACTTGGAAGCCATGGCCGCTCTGTGTGAACCAGACTTGGTGGTATGTGCTTCAGACAGGTGTCAGGAAGGGGCTGAGTGCTCAATCAGCGATCAGCGATCAGCGATCAGCGATCAGCGATCAGCAGCTAGGACTCTGGCTGCTGCTCCGTCACAGCTGGAGGCAGAGCCGGGTGCCAGCAGAATTGGCAATCTGAGCCCCTCTGGGAGGCTGAGCTCTTGGGCATTGTAAGTCTCTGTGACTGTTCAGACAATGGGCTGTAGAGTGACACCTGACCATCCATTGTGCTTGTGATCCCATCCTGGGTGCCAGGGGCAACCACTGAGTCCTTACAAGGAGCAGCTTCAAGATAAAATGGGGGAGAAGATGGGGGCCACACTGTTCCTGGCAGTTCCTTCCCACTCTGGTCATGTATTACCTAGGGATGAGAACAAGGCTGGTTAGACAGGAGGCACTGGGATTGTTCATTAGCACCCACTGTGTGCCTGGCCCAGCCCAGGGCAGGACTTTGGAGAGGTTTTGAGGTGCAGGAGAATCTTACCTAAGTGAGCACAGGCTGGTCTCTGGACCCAGGTGTGGCTCCACACCACAGGGCACCCCCGCCCTGGGCACCTCAAAGGCCTGGATGCTGATGGATGCTGGCTAAGACCAGATGGCAGTCTCTGGACGTTGGGAGCTGACTAGACCTTGGGGGCTCCTGGAGAACCCTGAGGGGGGGGAAAGATGTTGCATTTCCTTTCTTCTTGATGGGGGCACTCGGGGCTGACAGAGCCTACAGAGGGCAAACGGAGCACAAAATGACCATGAGAGTCTGTGCTGAGGGACATTGCCTGGTGACCTCAGTGTCCTGCCTGTGTGAAATGAGAGAGGGGCGGGCAGGAGCACCCTGTGGGGGGAGGAATGGCACCCTCAAAGCCAAAAGTCACCATCAGGTGTGTGGTGGGGAGGGGCAGTGTGCACACTGGTGGGGTGAGGTGGGATGAGAAGCGGGACGATTTGAGAAGGAATCGCTCTGTCAACAGCCCCTCTCTGCCATCTCCTTCTGCAGCTGCTGTGTGAGCTAAGAGTGGGGATGGCAGCCTAGGTCGGTTTTACTCAGTACCCTGTTGTACAAGGTGGTTTTTGAACCACATGAATGAGTTGCCTCCTCAGAAAATTAGTTGAAAACGATCTAAGGGTGATGTATTATTTACAAACAAAAAAATAAGGCTGTCCATATGAGAAAAAAATTCCATGAAGAATAAGACAGACATGGGGCAAGAAGGTTTAGGGGTGCTGAACCCCAGCTTGGGCTGTGCCCAAATCTAAACACACTCAGCTTGTCCCCATGGGGCCATCTGTCTGATTACACCCAGAGAGCTGAGCTGTGCACAGGACCATGTGCTAGGCCTCACCCTCCAGTCCGCTACTTGGAGGCAGGTGCCATGGTCACACCTGTTTTGAAAGAAGGGATTGGAGGCACATAGGGGAAGAAAACTGCCCTGTTTATGCCCTCACTGTCCTGACTGCCAAGGCCTGTTCACAGCCCTGTGACCATCTCTCTCACCCAGGCCTCCCAGGCATTTTGTGGAGCTCTCTGCATGCTTGTCATTCAAATGAGAGGTATCCACATCTGCCCTCCTTTGGCTCCAGGGGGCCAGGGCTGGATCTCACCCTGCAGCCCTGTCCCCACCTCCTAAGCGAGGACCAGCTCACAACTGGTGGAGAGTGACCAGGTACTGATGGCTGACTAACCAGTTTTTCCCTCTCCTGGGTGGGGGAGTGAATGGTGCTTCCTCTCTGACTCGTGTCGCCCAAATCTTTGAAAGATGACCACGGTCTCTTCAATATCTTGATCCCAGGAACAGGGGCTCAGGCCCCTCCCAGGTGGAACCCCCTGGACCCCAGAGAGCCTCTCCCATATTCAGTGAATGCACAAGCCCTTCCAGTTTGTCTATCAGTCTTATGTCGGTTTGGCTAGTGTGAATTATCCCTCAGATCAGCTCTGGATTCCACCAGGTAGAGTTTTTTGTTCTAGAGAGCCACTGTTATCTCTGGATGGTGGGATCCACTGCTAACTAGAAAGGTCTGCCCCCCCCCCAGTGACATCGTGGTGATATCTTGTGACAGGTCCAGTGGAAGAGTATTTAGGAGGCTTTGGCCAAACACACCCTTTGTGTCACATGTCCTTGGTCACACTGTCCTCCCCTCTCAGACTGAGTCTCTGGGACAGAAGTGGACCATAGCGTGACTGATCCTGCCCTGTAGGCTGCTCCCGCTGCCACCCTCTGGGGCTCACACCAGAGGTCTGGGAAGCAGGAGGAGGAACTTTGACTCCGTTTGTTCTGCGGTGGGCTCCATTCACTATGTCTACTAGCTTGGCCACCATCCATCCCTGTAGACCTCGCCTGGACAGCTATGCTGTACTCTTCCCCAGGTTGAGGGGCCTCGAAGGTGAGGATCCCAGAGCTAAGCAGCCACCAGCTGGGGTGGGGACTTCCCATCCAGCACCCCTAAGTCCCACCTCTTCCTACTCTGTTCCAGTCTTTCCTGGCTCACAGGAATGCATCAGGCGGGAGAGACCATTGCTTAATTACCAAGTCTTAACCTCCTACCCCTGTGCTTTCTTCTTGTTTGGGGAAAATTAATGGAATTAAGGTTCCGATCTAATTGTTTTCTTCTACCCACCCCCAAAGCCTATGATCTTTTTAAAATTAAAAATTGGGTTTCCAGGTCACATGCCTGTGATCCTAGCTATGCAGAAGGCTTAGTTGGGAGAATCACACAGTCAGTCCCAGGCCAGCCTCCACAAAAATCAAGATTCTACCTGAAAAATAACTAAAGCAAAAAGGGCTGGATGCGTGGCTCAAGGGGTAGAGTGTCCTCCTAACAAGCACAGGGCCCTGAGTTTAAACTCCAGTGCCACCAAGAAAAACAAAACAAAAAAAGCTGGGCTTCAGGAAACCACAATGACCAAAGGCAAGGAGTGTCCCCAGTCTAGTGACCAAGGCTGGCAGCCAACACATCTCGCCTGTAGAGGGTGCTGCTAACTAACCATTTGGACTGGAAACAAGGCAGGCAGACTCCAAAAGAAGGATGGAGGTGCAGGGACCTGTCCCCTCCCATCCCCCAGGGTGTCCTCAGCATCTTGAAAAGAAGACCTAACTCTTCTGAGGAGGCCCCTGAGAACGGCCATGGTTTCCAGAAGGCAGAGTATTTCCCTCTGGGTACCTGACAGCCTCCAGGACCGGCCTGGGACACGCTGCCCCATTGGGAC